ACTCACACCACCCGCCCCCCCCCCCCCCCCCCCGCCGCCCCCGCGCCCCCCCCCCCCCCCCCCCCCCCCCCCCCCCCCCGGAGAGATAGATCATCGTTCGTACGAGGTTCATTCATCATCTGATCTGGCAAGGATGATATATGTCGCAATAGCGACACGAGGTCAAACGTGGAATCGCATTACTATGTGCAAAACCAAACTGCCAGCTTATTATTTGGCCTTTGAGTACGAGCTCATGACCCATGCTGGCTTGGGGCACGCTTTCGCAGTAGGTAAAAAACGGAGGATTGCCCACCAGTACGTGGGCATGAAAGGTATCTAATGACTGCAAAAGATAGGTTGGATCAAACCCGTCCGCGTCAGTTGCGGACACGATCTGTATATATTGGATGGAGTAGTTGTGGAAGTATCAAGTCAAGTAATCTTCCTCGTTCCAAAGGAAAATGAAATAACGAGATTTAATATCAAACCAAGAACGCCCATTACAATGCCATTCATTCATGCCATGTCCTTTCGCCTGCTCTCCATGAAAACATGATCATCAATATCGCGAGAAAAAAAAACCCCTCCCTAACCAACCCCGGATGCCCTTTATCTAATGTAATGGTCTTGAAGAACTCCAATTCTCATAGAAGTGTTATTAAAAGTGCCCCCGTTACGCCGACAAGCCCAGTCCAAGAAGGGGAAAGTATGCCTGCGCCTCCTAGAAAGTGCGCAGACCCGGGGTAATTACACGACAAACTATTGTCCGGCGACTTTGATGCGTAGCTGGTTTTGAAGCTGAACTTGCTTTGCGGCAGAGGACATTTGAACCCCATCGAAGCCGGACAGCTCTGGACTAGCTCGTAGCACAGATTGTCGCAGGGCAGCAACTCCTTGTACGGGCCTGGCTTGACGACCTCGTCGATCTTCGGATTGCGAGACGCAAGGAAAGCCTTGGAACTCCCGTACTCGTCAAGGATAGCCTGGTCCACGGTCGTTCCGTTCGGAAAAGGAGTCCCGATGTTGCGCATTTGTAGATAAGGCCGGTCAGGGGACGAGAAGTCCTCACAGCGGGGAATAGCCACCGAACAAAGCCATCTCTTATACGCAGCCTTACAATCGTCACAGTCCCTGGCCAAGGAGTATCGAGCAGTGGAAGGAGCCTCACAGGGAGTCTGTTGTAGGACTTTATCGAAATTGTCCCACATGGAGCTTACGTAGTCGTCATAAAACTTTCCAAGAGCCGTGGCGTTAGGGAAAGTCTGTGGGTTTCCCGGAACGGCATATTGGGTCTGATCGCAAAATGTGAGGTTGAAGATAAATGTACATGCGCCGTCTGTATTCTCGTTAGCATCTCATTACCACTAACAACTGATTTTGTCCTTACTGGGCTTTGTTGAAAAACTGGCCGGTTGAAATACGATGCCGCCGCCTATATCCGAAGAATCATCCTGACGCGTTTGAAGACTCTTCCCCGGCGGACGAGCAAGGATAGCTGTGTAGTTAGAGCTAGTGTTGAGACCGCTAACGTAGAACTCCTGTCGGGTCAAGTTCAGGTCTCCTCCGTTTTTCAGCCCTATGGTCATCATTCCGCTGCTGCCATCTGCAAGATTTCTAATCTGGGCATACGAACTTAGCCCGCAGTAGGAATTACGCACACCCCTAATGTCAATATTTCCATCGTTATGAGCAAACATGACATACGGCGGTGTCTTGATCACCTGGCTCGAGACTTTGTTGAGATAGTTGGTTTGCAGTAGAGCGGCCGAGGCGTCACTATCGACCCATACAAGACCAGGATCAGTATGATTGCCTTGGAACGTATAGTAATACCGATCGGTAGAAGCGACGAGTTCAAAATTGTATTGGCGTGAAGTGTCGAAATCCTCAGCTGAGACACTTGGGGCCGAAATGCTCAAGTAAACATCCTTGTCTATAGATGTGTTGAACATAACGGCTCCCTCTGTGAATACAATGGCCTTCTGCGTATCTTCACTTTGTTCCGGGCCTGGAGAAGTATTATCGGGCGATGTCGAAACATACAGAGTAAGTTGTGGAGGGTCCGGAGCCGTTCGATCTGATGAACGGCGTGCAGGCTGCAGACAAGTATTTGCGGATATCCATAACGTTTTCGTTGATTCTTTCCGACGTACAAGCTCTGGTTTTAGAGAAGTGCCATCGCCATCGCCGTCGCCTTCACCCTCGCCCTTATCCCCCGCCCCATCCATAACCGGCGTACGTGACGTATTCAAACTTCTTCGAAGCTCCAGCGGTTCGCTTAGATCCCGCGTGGTCTCGCCGTTAACTGACGAAACTTGGAAGACATAGGTCATCGTAGAGCCAGGAGCAAGATTGGACTTTTTTACTTCATTGTTGGCTATGTCAACCGCACCACCTTCTACTCTTCCTATGATACTTCGGTCGAATAATGCAAATTTTGGTTCATACGCTGGAGACCCGAGGTCCAAAGCCTCTGATATCTCGACAGCATCCAGCTGTTCGTAGGATAATTCGTGTACGTCATGTTCGGGGGATATGGGATCGAACTCGAGAGCGAATGCGAATTTCGGAGAGAGTAGAATAAGGTAGATAACGAGCAAAAGGCAGGAGGCTATCACAGAGGCTGCCAACCGCGATTGTAATGGGCTCAGCTGCATCCTAGGAACATAGCCCTTCCGGGCATCTCACACAATATTGAGTTATGTCCCAGCAACAGTAGATGAAGCGGATTGGGACTTGCGGGAATCTGTCAGGTAAAAAAGGATGGATTATGCTAGGCACCACGGCGGTACAAAAAATGGAATTCGTTCGTTACTATCGATTATAATTCTACGATACTAGGTTGGTCGCGTAATGTCGAGGATGAATTTTGCTAGCGAATGGGGTCAATTGTAGATACAATTGGTGACGTCTACTTGTTAGAAAAGGAATGGGCAATGTGAATTTCGTAAAAGTTGAAAAGTTGTAAAGTCGTAAAGTTGGCGAGGAAGAGAGTTTCGAGTTTCACAGGGCAATGCTGGGGTTGCTGATAGGTGTCTGCCCTGAAATCCCCTGACAGCTGAATACCCGCAACTGCGGGTCTAGACCATATATGCGCAACCCAACCTTGAAAGTTGAGACAAAATCCAACAGGCCACATCAATTAACCACTAACTTAATGTTCCATAATGTATGTTCCCTGTAATGCATTATGTACATAGTACAATACGGTAGCACCCGCCTATACTACTTTATATTAGGTACCTGTTGTACATACCTCCTAATGTGCATAGTTTACCTAATGCATACATATTTTAACGCGCAGTTAATACAACCTATGAGATAAGCAAAATTAAACTTAACTATACGAATCGTATTTTATAAAAGGTTCTACACAACCCCCATATATATCCAGTCTCTCTCTCTCTCTCTTCTACCTAATACTTACCTACCCAGGTAGTGAATACGACAGTAGCCACAGGCATAAATCGTACGAAAACATGAATTGTGGCAAACAGACTTATCGCGCACTGCGCCGCGCCGCATCTGCAGCTAGAATCCCTCCCGATCTCTAGTCGTCATCGTCAGTTGAATAGCTTCAAGAACACGATGAATCAAATCGGACTAGCATCATAACCATATTGAACAAGCGGGGACGTGAGATCCAAGCCTTGTAGATATTATTGTTGCTAGTGGAGCATACTGCCAAAGCTATCGCGGGACTACGACGTATCTCGCCTACTAAACCCATTACCCGCTTCTGGTTTAGGGACTCACTTGGCTGCAAGTACTCGTACAGTGTATTCCTGACAACCCGTTGTAGTGTGATGAAAGTCGACCAAGCCGCGGTTCTTGCTCGAGACATGCAGTTGAATGCGTATATTTGGCTACGAATCAGGCCAGTATCGCAGCGTTCGAGAGGGGGTCGCCAGACTTGAGCAATGGTGAGGAGCTGATCACTTTTGATCATAGTTCGCTCGACTGCCTCCTAGAACACCCGCGCGGGCCAGGATCGAGCGCGACGCAAGAAGACCATGAGTTAAAGGATAAGGACGTGAAGCATGCGTACGATAGTGCTCTATCGTCCACGTGCACCGTACAAAAAGCACTAACTAGCCGACGGTGAACGGGACTACGCCGTCGTAAGGAGATTTGGCTGGTTTTCTGTCACGTGCTAGCTAAGTTCGCTCAATTCCTAGAGAAGAGGAGGCCGAGAGCTATGGTGATATTGGCGCATTTCATGGCTCTGTGGGTAGGCTTCGGACACATATGAGTGATCGGCCGGGCCGGCGAGTTGCATACCAGAGGCATGTATAAGGCCTTGCCGATAGAACGGAGCAGCAAGCTTGGCGGTTTAGTTGCGAGATTGAAACCGCCAGAAGTAGGTAGGTTGAGACAGATTTTCAGCAAGCAGCAAATCCGGGCTTGTATGATGGGTAGTACTACTAATATTTATATCAACTTATTTGTTCTAGCGCACTATACATAATAAGTCGCTTAGGGATACATGATAGGTAGCATTATATATCAGGTACCTATTACTAAATAGCTCATCTACCTGAGGTTCCTAGAATAAAAGAGCTACCTATTTGTGTTTATTAATAAATCTTGTCCAGTTCGTTCTAAACTTTAAACATGCCGGGACGTAACCGAGACGGCTAAATGTGGGCCGAGCTGAATTCAGCCTTATCACCCGCCTGCAGCTCTGCCTTTAGCACCTGCATACCTACCACCCAAAAGCTTAATCTTCAATATCTCTAATAATACCTCCTACAAATTCCAGTACCCATTGCGCTGTCGTCGTCGTCGTTGTCGTCGTCGTCCTACCTAACCTACCTACCTGCCAGACCGATTTTTAATCTAACCTCACTCACCCAACACGCGGAAATATGGTCAGTAACAGATCAGATTCACACGCGTACCTACCTACCTGTCTGTCTCCCTTCAGTCTCACAGCTAACATCGCAAATGATAATAATGACGTAGCCGCCCAAACGCAAAGCCGCAAATACTACCGCCGCCGCCACCACCACCGAAACCACCACGCCGAAAGAAAAACAGTCGAAACTAGCCAAGGAGCACAACATTTCGGCGCGGGAGGAGCGCGAGATCAGGGAGGCGTTCGGGCTGTTCGCGGAGCCGGCGGAGGGCGAGAAGGAGGGCGTCATACCGACTAAGGACGTGCGGCGGGCCATGGTGTACGTTTCCCTTTTTCTTTTTTTTCTTTTTTTATCTTTTTCCCTTTTTCCCTTTTCCCTCCTTTTCCCTTTGCCTTCTTTCCCATTTCCTTCTCTTCTCTATTTACGTTCCCGTCCCCGATCCCGAATACTAATGCGACGATCCAAAAACAGCGCCCTAGGCCTCCCCCCGAAGAACAAGTCCGAACTCGCCGAGTTCCTCGAGATCCTGGACCCGGACGACGAGGGGTACGCGTCGTACGAGCCGTTCGTGGCCATCTGCGCGCTGAAGCTGCACGCAGCGGCGCGGGAGCGGGGCGGCGGCGGGGGGCCGGCGGCGGAGGAGGTGGACGAGGCGTTTAGGTTGTTTATCGGAGCAGGGATAGGAGCAGGGGGAGGGGGAGGGGGTGGGGGAGAGGAAGAACAGGTTCTGACGCTGTCGCATCTCCGCCGCGTGGCCATGACCCTCAAGCAGGACGTCGACGACCAGCTGCTCAAGGACATGATCCTCGAGGCGAACGGGGGCGCGGGGGTGGGGAAGGGCGTGGGCAGGGCCGAGTTCGAGGAGGTTATGAGGAGGGCGGGGGCGTGGAAGTGAGGGTAGAGTATGGTATGGTATGACAGATAATTATACCTAGCCTAATCTGACCTAACCTAACCCAATATAGGGGGGTCTACAGGAGGGGGGAGGGGGGCTCTGTGTCTGAGATATGGGATTATAGTTCCTGGACGAGCTCAAGTCTCGTTAAAGAGGCGGACAGGCAGAACGGGATAAACGAGCGGGAACGCTTATGAGCGACGCTTCGTAGATCCAAGAACGAAAATGCATTAGGTTAGGTTAGGTACGTCTGTCACTCTCCGAGTAGCAGAAGTTGGGAGATGAGTACCAGGTACCTAATATCCACGGGACTTATGAACTGACCAACAAGGTAGGCATAGTTAGTTGTTTCCTTCATCAACTTCTTTTAGCTAATACCTCCTACTAACGGTTACGAATAGGATGGTATTCGTGTTTCATACAGGATATAAGAATGATGGCAATAGAGCGATAGTTTTATGCACGAAGCTACCTATTTAATAAGGAGCGAATATGAAGAACATTTCTACTATCAAGTTACATATAACTTATACCCGTAGGGCTTTTATTTAATAACATGTTGTAGAACTACCTAGTCCAGCATGTACAAGCACCTATCAGTAAAATGCAATCAGGGTTTTTGATTTCAAGCGGAAAACTCTAATCTTTCATATCCTTGGTAGTTGGTATTTAGTCTTTAGTCAGTTCAGATTTGCTAACAACCCTTTGAGTCAACCATCCGTAGCCATGATCAACGTACCCAAAGTTCTATAATACTCCTAATATGACAAGAAGAAGTGACACTCGAACCAGTAATAGAATATGCATTCTCATAGTGTAATAGCATCTATTATAATAAGTACCTATTTATATATCGCAATCACCTGCCTACGCTCATTTATAATTTAGACGTCACAATAGGACAAGAGATCCTCTAGTCCAACTGTGACTTTAGCCCAGGAAATTCGGCACTGTCGTATCCAGTCGATATCCACTGCGAACGCCAAAAAAAGATAAAATAAATAAAAATACAGCCACCCTCGTGCGAACAGAAGAAAGCAAGATATAACTTGTACCGCGGAGGTGAACCGTCCAATATTTGTATAGTCCGCACACGCGAGTCTTGCAGACTACTTATACACTTAAAGAACTTCAAGAAAATTCGCCAAGTTCTTTGCCTTCCCTTGCAGCTTGAGCCGCGTTTAAGTTTACTCAGCTTCGGGGGCACTGGCAGCAGCGCTCTTAGCGGCAGCGGCCTCTTGAGCCCTCTTTTGCGAATCCAAGACGGCCTTGAGCTCGGGTGGGGGGTTGAAGCCGGGGTGGTCCGAGTGCTTCTTATAGAAGTAGTTGTCAGGCTTGGGCGTCAGCTCGGGGGGTAAGTCGTCCAGGACGGCTTGCAGTAGGTTATCGATGGACTTTTGCTTGGACGCGTCGCGGTGCCAGATGGAAATCAAATGGGAGTTGAAACGGACGGAAAGGCCGACGCCGCAGATCTGGTCACCCTCCTCTAAAGCCTCCTGTAGCTTCTCGCCGATGGCCAGGAGCTGGATGCGGGTCCAGAAATCGGGACCGGAGCTCTTGGGCACGCGGAAAGTCCAGCTGCCGCCCAGCACGTTACGACGGTCCTCCCAGATGGGTCTGAAGCCGCTCTTGAACAGATAGATAGATTCGCGCATCTTAATCTGGTCTACTGGTGTATTGTTGGCGTATCGCCAAAAGTCCTGGACCGATTCGATCTGGGTTCCCAGCTGTTCTAGCGACGCCTGATAGTCGCCCTCGTCTTCCTTCTTCGAATCCTTCGAGTCCTTGGCTTGTCTGGATAGATAGGCTAGCGTTAGCAAGAGAGATCTAGTAAAAACATATTAATTTTATGTTAGTTTCTTACCTATCGAAGTAAACGTTCCAGTAATGCTGGGTGGGCAGAGCGCGCATAGTCTTGAACAAGTTACGCTTAGCATCGTCTCGCTGCTCGGCGGGCGAGCTGACATTTGGCGAGTTCGCATCGGTGCTCTGGGAGAGGGACGAAAGCCCTCTGGTGAACAAGCTTGGTCGTGCGGCCATGATGACTACAGGTCAAAGGTTTGGTTAGAATGTTAACGTTGCCCGTTGCCTGTTGCCCCCTATATATTTGTTGGTGGAGGGGTTGGAGAAGCTTCAAGGGCGGTGGTAGTAGTGGTGATGATGATGGTGGTGGTGGTGGGGTCCAACGCTTGCCAAGACTTCTCTGTTCCTGAAAGTGGCACGTTTGCTTCTATTTATTGCCAAATTTGCTAACAGCTAGTTGGCTTAAACAGGGCGATGCGGTTACACGACTACACCTATATCACCTACCACCTGCAAGCTTCTAGGGGGGGAGGTGAAATAGGTATTGTTCTAATAGTCGGAATCATAGACAGGATGATATCTGTATTCAAGTAAATAAGCACATACCTAAGTAGACAAAAACTCGATTTCAAATTTACTGCTCTAAGAAGAAGAGAAAAACAAGAAGAAGCAAAAGGCAGCTGGATACCACCAAGAAATAAGAATAGAGTTAAGGATAAAAAAAAAAAAGGTAGGTTACGCAATAGTTAAAAAATATAAAGAATCCCGAAACAATGGACAACAGCTAAGGTGATAGGTAAACCAGATGACACTTTTCAGCTTGCCTACCAGGTACCTAAGGTACCTAAGTTTATAGGTTAGGTATACCTAGGTACGGAACAGCCAATGCAGTACTTAATATGAATTAGGGGGTTTTCATTGGTCCTGAAACCGACACGGCTAGGTTTCAAGAGCCGCAATTCGTATGATCGCTAAGGGCACGCTGTCTGACCGCACTTGCCAACGATAGGTATCCATTACATACCTAACCTATAATTGTCTGTAATTGCCTATAGTTTTCTGTACTGCTTATCAATACCAAATCCAAGGTACGTCGCACAGGTCGCAGTATCCGCCTTCGAAACGAATAACCTTAACAAGTTTGAGTTCCAAGTTTGACACTTACCTAGTACCTAACCTATCAGCGCTAACCAGAACTAAACATCAGCCCGTACCTTAAGTATCATCAGCTAAGCCTGTCCTATATTTACCCACGTATTAAGCTTCCTTTAAGGTTAATTTCATAAATAACAGCTTTAAGGCTGCTATTGTTGTATTGTACTAGTTACCGTCCCGCCTTTGAAACCCAGTAGCTACAGTATTATAAATTGACTCTAGTTCAGTATTCAACGTCCGTTATATCAGGTTCCTGTTTAGGTGTTCCCTATTTACACCCTAAGACCCTAAGATTATCAAGTGCTTAAATCCATATAAGATATGGCAATGAGAAAGTTATCTCTTCTCTCCATGTTCCTATACCTACACGTTCAAATAAAGTTGCTGAACAATCATTTAGGTATGAACTACTCGTTCATACTTGGGTACCTAAGTTACTAGCTAACTGGTTCCAACCCCTTTCCCGGAATACGACAACTCCAGGTAATAACCACCTCTAACGATGGCTTGTCGAAGTAACTGTTGTGGCTTCGAGCTAGAAACATACCTAGTGACTTAGGTAGGCAACTTAAGTAGGCAGTTACCTGTCAACAAGAGTCTTTTAGGTTAGGTAGTTCCAATAGGCGAGAACCACCATTTCTAGAAGTATACCTTAGGTGAATAGTCCAACGTACCAACTCTTTAGTCTGAGTTGTTAGTTAGATACCTGTTATACAATTAGATTAGATTAGATTTACCCAAGGTAAATACCTAATTCAACACGCGAATAACCAGTCACGTAACCTAATGTATACCTAACCACGACGCTCTTCTCCACTTCCAAATGCGACTTCCCTTGGGCAACTGAATACTAAATCAACGGCAGTAATAAAGATAACGATAACAATGGTGATGATGATTTTACCAAGACCCCCCATTCAAGGATCGACTAAGCTTGACTACAGTATACACTTGGCACTTGTCCACCCTTTTCCCTTCTCCCCCATTAAGGATATATTAGATACCTAACCTTAGGTACCTAAGATAGATAAATAGCTAGATAGATACCTCTTTCTTGCTTTGCTTCTTTTCCTCCAATATCTGCATGCCCCGAGCACAGTCTGTTTTACAATTAGGTAGATATAGGCAAGGTAGATAAGAGGTATATACTATCACGCCCCCTGCCGCGGCTCATCTAGCCTAGCCGTCCAAGTTAGCAAAATTTCTGCGTCGCCCTCTTCTTCCCCTGACTCCTTGAGGTTGTTTCTTGAATCCAACATTCAGTCTAGGTGGTAAGTACTAATAGGTAGAATCCCAATCTGAATAGCACGAGCGAACCAACCCAGCTCAGCGGTTATATAGCAACAGCTCACAAGCACTAAATATCACACAATCACCACACGACGACCTCTAATTCGTCCGATTTTGGTTTGAAATTTTTGAATTGGTTTCATTGATCTTTTTTGTAGTTATGGATAAAGATACAAATCGTAGAATTCGGTGGGGGTTTTGGCAGGCAGGCCTGCCGTGCAGCAACTATTCGTAGACTCCTATCAGGTTATGTTTATTCCTCGGATCGGCTTTTGCTCGAGTCACCTCAATAACGCCCCTTCCCAATCTCGGCCGAGTACCCTTGCTGAATACTTTCCTCCCCAGACCTGCCGAGAACGATAGGATATTGCTCTCTTCGTCTCGCCTCGATAGCCACCGGCTGTTGCCCATATATAAAAACAATGGAACCAAACGACCTCCTTTTTGAGATCGAGATGAGACTCGACGATTAGGCCGTCCGCGTTTTTGAATGACACTTTTCTCCAGTGAACCTGTTGGTAACCCCATAAACTAATGAAATGAAGAGTACGAGCAATGCAAAAATGCCAAAACGGCTTGCTCGATGGCATGGATAAGTGAACGGCTGTTAAATCTAAGCCACCTTTTCGCCAACAGCGAACCAAGAGGACCAAAATTGATCAAACGCCACACAATCACCATGATGATGGTCAAGACTTATGAGGCGCTCGTCGAAACCCGTATGGGGCTTTACGACGAGCCGCCACACCCGATCGACCTCAAATGCGATGAGATTTTGAAGAAAAATAAGGGAGCTGCATTTCATAACTATCCGTCCAATAGCAGCCAGCGATAAAGGAGAGCCGTAATGCTGAGGAAAATCAGTGGTATTAGAGCGCAGACGCCATGTTCGTGCTATGCTTGCTTTCGCGATGCAATTCAAGTCATGAATCAAATCGATCAAGTAGAACATTTATGCTGAGAAAAACGCCATGCGAAATGAGACGACGTGAAATGTAGGATAGGGAATGGGGGGGAAAGGCATGATCATGGCGAAGTAGCAACACACCAGTGCCGGTGGAATGCCCAAGCACTCTTTTGGCACTCCTTGCTGCAGTACTTCGTTCGGCGGCACCGGCGGCACTTAGCAAACTGCCGTGTATATTCTTCCCATTTACCGCACTGGTAGTATGCACACTGTCGAATGCCACCTCGGGTATCGTCTTTGCGGCATAGGTTACGCATCACGACCCCAGCCCAATATTGCATGTCAGTACTGTGATATCTTACTGTGAACTTCTCGACTAGTGGGAATATGTTAAAGTCGTTTGGAAGAAGATATTCTTCCGCGTACTCTTGCTGGCCCGGTGATCCTGCCGTTATGTTCTCTCCGTCGAGCAACTGCAATTCCTTTCCTATTTGAAGCCGCGGCACGAGGTGACTTTGTTGGAAATATGACCTAAGGTTGCAGTACTTTGAAACATATGCGAGCAATTGGAGAGACATTAGCACATCTTCTTCCCTGGGCATCGCTGCCAGCATCTGAGGGTTCGGGGGAACCGGCCGATCCAGAAGGTACCGCGGTACACTTGCGTGGTTAGGAAGAGAGGGCTGCGGAGTGGGCATTATGGGACGGTGGGGAGAAAGACCCATTGCCGGTACAGGGGTCGGCGTGTTATTTGGTAGACTGCCGTCCAGAGGCGTTCGATGTGTTATATTGAAGGTTCCTGCGTCGGGGATCTCGGAAACCGTCGGCGTTGCCAAGTCGAGAGCTGCACCGGCTAGAGTACTGTCACCCTCTTCCATAGCAATGTCCTGAAATCCGACGGTAGGCTGGATGTCAGCCGTACCGGACATCTCGGCATCTTGAGACTCGTCGGACTGCACGCTGTCGGTTGCGTTCAACTCATCCGCATCCGTAGTCGAGTTCTGGTGGCGTATGGAAGGGCGTCGCCTGGCTCGGCCATTCAGTATCGATTCCGAAGTAGGTCTAACTGCTGGCGAGTGGGCTTGAGGAGTAGGTAGAGGAGTGGTAGGCGAAGTGGGTTGCGACGGCAGGCCGGGGTGGAAAACCGGAACCATTGATGGCAGCCGATCAATGTCTCGCACAGGACGGATAAACCCATCCGCCGCCTCCATAGTCGGAACTGCACTCGCCAAGGGCTGAATCACCTGCCGTGACGGAGATATGATGTTCGGGCGACTTTCTTGTCTGTGATGATGATGGTGATGATGGTGGTGATGGTGATGGTGATGATGGCGGTGGTTAGGGAAAGCAGTGCGATCCGGAGGAGAGGTAATGGGGAATGACGGAATAGCTGGCACAACTTCAGCATTAGCTTGCTCGGCCGCAGCCGACGTGCTCGCAAACGAAGCGGCTGTGACATCGATGGACGGCGGCGGAGCTTGCCTACGGAAAGCCCTTTGGTCGAGGTCTATACGAGTGGACCGGTTTGCGAAAGACGATTTAAATGGCGGCTCCCGATGACTATGACTCCGATGACGCTGCTGATGGTCAGCTATTTGCTTCTGCTTGGCCTCTTCCGCCTTCTCGCGGCACTTCTCGATAACTTTAATGTAATTGTCAAGTATAGTCGCGATAACGGGAACCATATCAGCCTCGACCACCCGGGTCCTCACATTCTCGGTCCCCCTAACTCCTATGTTGACTACGCACTGGAAGGCTAGATTCCACTTCCACATGTCCATCATATCTTTGCTCCGCCCCTGCTTTAATATACACACCAGCCTCTCGATCCCTCCATCAACAGTTAGGATATCGCGGATGCGAGCCGAAGAAGTTGTAAGATAAGCGAGATGGTTGAGAGAGTTAATGAGGGGGAGCGTTGAAGTACAGTCGAGTGCCCGGCGGTCATATAGGGCAGTGGTGATGCCCACCGACGCCTTGTTGACGTTGGGGATGCTAAAATTGACTTCTCTCATGTTGGGCGATATAGAATTTTTGAAGTAATGATGGTTTATCGGTAGAATTGAAGGAGAGTGCCGCCGTGGGATGAGACGAAAACGTGAATATGTGGGTATTATGGTTGGAAGTGGCCGGCTTCGTTTTTTGGAGATAACCCTTCTATATACGAAACGTAGACCACCCGCTCTTCCAATGGGCCAAGATGATGAACGCGTAGAATTTAGTGCGGGAACTTAATTCAAAGTACAGACGATTGCTAAATTCGATCTGTACCCCGTGCAACAGAATTTGGAAACTTATGCCCTTGAAAAATGCGTAATAAGGAAACGAAGCCGGTTTTTTTCTTTTCTGTTGGCGCAATTGTCAAAATGTCAGATGGGCTGACCTGACAGAACAATAGAAATCGAGATGCAGTGTCTCAACGATGAAGCAAGGCGTCGGTCGAATACGTTTCTAGGATCTGCGGCAGGTATAAAGGACGTAAATGAGAAGATACGAATTAATTGGAAATGAATTTGGAACGTTCGATCGTAACTCGTCTGGCGAATTTGGGCAAATGCCTCAGACCGCTGGATCTCTCAGTCGGTATTTGATCGCTTTCGTGGCGGACTATGGGTAAAACAAGGATGGAGGCCCGAATCTCCAGCGCGGCGGACTCTATGGAAAGATGGATGTCTCCATCCAGATCGAAAGATAGGAGAGTAGAGACGAAGAAGAGCAAAGAAAAGAACCACGGCGTTTAGGAAGGGAAGGCAGCGATTCGATTCGGGGGTTATGAGATGGGTGGTATATCGGAGGGAAAAGATGGCTACACTATCTAAACTAGGGGGGGGGGAGAATTTTAGAGTTGGTAATAAAGGGAAGTGGTTCCGCTCTCTGTATTAAGTTTGTTGCAAGATGAGAGAAAAAAAAAATGTAAAAAAAGAGGCGAGAGGCGACTGGGTCCGCCAGGTTAGGTACCTGGTTTGGTAGGGGCTGCCCATTGCAGCTGCCACAGACGAACCAGGATTCAAACGCTGTCAAGTGCTGCCGAAGAGGTCGATTTTTTTTTCTTTTCTCTGTGACTAAGGCCGCTGGGCTACTGGGCTACTGGGCTGCTGTGTAGAGCTCACAACTGCAGGCACGCTAATGCCTCAAATAATTCTATTACGGTAACTTAATCCACTGATCCGGTCTGGGCTGGCCGCTAAGATTAGCATATACCTGACTTGCATGCTCTACATGATGCCACAACCTGCCACAATCACACTTCTCTAGCATTGAGCCCTGTACCAAAGATTGTACTGTACCATACCTATTTTATACCGAATAATTTTTCCAGTGTGTTGGGTCGAGACTTGAGTCGCCGCATAGGCGAACCCGGCATGACACAATTCTACAAGACAGAGGAACTCACATGGAATATCTAAGTTATTTTTTCCTCTTCTTTTAATTGTGATTAACTACACAATTTCCACGTTCCTTTTAATTTGGGGGTCCTTTGTTCTCAATTTCGAACCGAACCGCATTATCCATTGTAAGCGGCAATAGATAGTGAGCTTAAGAAGTACTTATAGCTACCCTTGTTTTCTTTTAGGAGCATGGTTTACCGGAGCGGGAGTGCTAATAATTAATACAGGTGCCTACCTAGGTACCTATAAAGGGATCTGATACCTATAACGAATAACGTCCCGCTTTGACATTTATTAAGTTTAATGGTATTAAGTAGTTACTTAAGCATAGAAATTTACTAGAATGAAAATGTTAGGTAGGAGGTAGTTTAAAGTATGATGAAAAGTTTAACCGTTAGATGTTTCTACCACGTGTGACAATAAATATTCCGTACTCAGGATGTGGTTACCTACCTCAGGAGGTAGGTAGTTGATCTTTCGTCCACTATCAAAACCCTGGAGGATGCCAACTACCTACTTAGGTACTATTGGTGGACAAGGGCGAAGTCCGACAAATGATCGTTAAGACTAACGATTACAGAGCTGCTATCCATGCCAACTTATTAGCTATGGTTTGCGTCTAGGTAGGTAGTGTTGAACGAATACCGCTAGGCTGTTATATATCAAGACTACTACTCGAATAACAATAATAATAATAACAATCTTTAAATAGAGTCGATTATACCGCGATAAGCGACGCTTTCTTGACCATGTTGTCGTGGCGAAGATCTTGGATTACGATGGTATCTGTAATCCAGCACGTAGGTACTTATAAAAAAAAACCACCCAACACATCACGTTACGGCCTAAGCTCTCGGGCTCTGTAGGACTGTAGGATATTACAGCGGCTATAAGCGTTTATGTTCAAATCGACATCCCTAGGATCAACAACGTTGAATGGCAAATATTATTATCGTGATAAAAAGGAAGAACCTATCTCGTCCCGTGGGCAGCGGTGTTAAAAGTGACGTATAGAAAACTTTTGTCCCTCGCCGAGCCCGTCCCCGCTCGGAAAATCCTCCACGAACAGAGGCCGGAGACGAAACACGGCCGAGAAAGGAGGTTGGCGGTTTCTCGATTGGGTTCGCATCGTGGGCACCTTGCTTATATTGGGTAGTAATAAAACCGCTACTATCTACCTCATAGGTATGTATTATTCTGGAATGGTTTGTGTGCTTTTGTAATGAAGCCCGTGTCCGCGCCGGCGGGTTCACCTAGTGTATCTACCTGGTATTCTTACCAGATGTTTCCGATTATAATTACGGTTTACCTACCTTTTTCTACCTGTATTATTACTAATAACTTAGAAGCAAACATGCCATCTGATGTTATTAATTATCGGGCTTGGTACCAAGTAGGTACGCTCAAGCTTTTTGAGCAATGACCCTTAGTTCCCCCCGACCTCGCCCAGCGGATAGAGGATTTGCAATTTCCCTGCTTCGTACCGGTGATGTGTATCATATGATCGCCAACTAACCTAACCTGTACATACCTACATGCATTTTAGCTATGGCCCCATTCAAAAGTGACATAGAAGCGTTTCTTGATATCCCCTCGTAGTTCGTCTCTATTATGTACCTACATAGTATGATATGACTAACAGTCGGGAGGCGACTTATTCTTATGTGGTAGTACGAACTTGGAGAAGCGAAAGGGAGGAGATATAGGTACTACATGTATGTAGCATACATACATAGTAGGTATTCCGGGTAGTACATTAGGTAGTCTAATAGTCTAGAGCATCTAGGGTTGCATCTGAACACATACTACTGTATGCGCGTGGCATCGCGTCACAAATTGGTCCTTGGCACGGACTTGATAGTTGTTCAGCCCCCAGGCCATTGAAAAAAAAGTACATCAGGGTACTTGGTGTATTTCATTAGGAGATTTAAATAGCCAACTTTGCACGTCTCCTTTCTTTTTCTTTTCGTCTTTTATAATTCAAGATGACTTTATTAGTTTTATATATGTCTTCCCATTAGAATTCGGTACCTGCAAGGTACTGAAAGGCAAATTTGTGGGTAAGGGGTGTGAAGCGTTTAAGCAATTACCTAACCTACGGATTCCCTAGGTACCTCATTAGATGCCAAGTTGGGATGTGACGGGGCGCTAGTTATTATTAATACCGGCACAGTCCGAAATCCCGAAAATTTCCATTCGGGTATTCGCGACTTATTACACAGTACCTATTTCTACGTACTATTACCTTTGATACACATAACTTTTCTAACTTCACTTCATACTTCATAAATACCAACACAATTCTCCGTAAACAAGGCTGCCTCTATGAGCTTATTAGACTAAGCCTGGGCAGCAATTGTATCCACGTCTAAAGGCAACAGCTTACCAACTGTACAGGGTGTCTCTCAATGAGATGAGATATTGATCACGCGGCTCAAGTCGCCGCATTTGTAGAGCAAGTCATCCTTGTGTAAAAACATACTATGTTATACTGCCTAAACCAACGTCCAAGCTACGGAACGCCTCCTCGAGCAGAACAATTCTCCGAATGGCTCGTTTGACGCTCGTCAGTAATTACTAATAAACCACGAACATGTTTGGAACTTCAGAGAGCGCCGTGGTGGATGGCTTAAAGAATGAACCCTTGACGGACGATTGGTCCTTGCAAAGCCATTCTCTGCCGCCTCCCTTACGCCTCCTTACGGCGCTTAACAAAGCCAATTGGCTGCCCCCTTTAGCTTAGCCCCGATGGCAGACTTCCTGGTCAGCCGCGCCTTAGTTGGAAAGCGACTTTTCACCAGCCATCCGAGACAATGAGAGACATTTCAGTTCCAGCATCGTGTCCCGCTGACGTCGGTGGCATCTCCAGACGAGATGTGGATTCATACCTTGGCGTATTACGTAGATGTGTAAATGGGTAGCTGAGCTACACTTGGTACCTAGCTCAAGGTATCTCCACCGCGAGAGATAGATCCCCCATGCGCTCAGTGCGTTCGGACCTCTTCTTGCCTTACGGATTGTTGGGAACCCATTGCAAGCAACCTTGGAAGCTACTAGCTAACGTTTAGCATGTAATTACAGGGTTGGCTTAGGCCAGACAAGCAAGAGGAGAGCCAAGACCTCGTGAGCGACTTTCTTACAGCGGTTCAGATCTGACGTTACATCCCACGAGCCTCCCGTCAGCCACATATATGTAGGTATTGTACACGTATACCTACACCATACATGTATAACTGGTCCGCTACGCGAAACGATCACGGGCGTCTATATACCTTAGATTAGGTAGGTACCTAAGGTATGTGCTCTACAATACAATACCTATACCGAATTCAACAGTGAACACAATCCTATTTCTTCGTTATTGAAGAGAAGCTCTTTTCCGGTTCAGCCTCACGTTCTTCAGCGGCACTGAAACCATTGGCGTGGGATATTAGAATGGTACGCATCCGTGGATAGGGCTAAGCGGGATGAAACACGATTTGTCTCGATAAGATTACCATTTACGTAGAAAATATTGAGGACCTGGATGATCCATTCAATATCGGCGGTAAGGCGAACTAACCGGATCTAGGTTTAGTATTCGGTCTTGGTTAGAAGCTCTAAGCATCGAGGGTAATTATATTCGATTCCACGCCGAACATACAGTACAATAGTGTATGGCAACAATATACCGGTTAGATATCAAGTATTTTGACAAGGCCATTAAATATTCGGTCTTTTCTATATCCTCTTCGCCAGTGGTGGGTCACAACCCTTGTGGCCCTTTTCACTAACCCTTCGTCTCACTGTGTGACCACGAGAGCATGAAAGAGTGAGGACAGTGATTTGTCTTTGCTTCGAGGAGAGTGAATGACCAAACAGGTGTCATCGGTAATAGGTTTCTATGATTAGATTAAACTAGGTACCTACGTAATAGCTTTAATCACGAGCACCATTTGCTCGTCAATGGATTGAGATGCTGTAGTTTGCACTCTTTTCACTCGATAGGGTCGAAGACCGTGACCTATCGTGGATGTTCTCTATAAAAGTATCTTCTAAATATTATAACTACGAGCTTCGTAACTGAATCACTTTTTGTGCCATTCCGAGAACAGCCCGCCCCAGATTGACATACCCCCTAATTAAGCGTCCACGGCTTACAGGGCAAAGTCTTATACATGTGTGCATGGATTTCCCTTTGCACAGACGAGAGGTCGTGTACGGTTTACACATCTGAGTAAGTACGATCGACAATCCACGTCCAAATTTTTTTTATCTGTAAGAGCCGCTAGGTACCTGCTTCACGTAGTGTTGAGCTGTTGTTACCTAGGTATCTTGTGAAAAATAGGGACGTCTTCAACTCTGGTAGATCCCGTGTACAGCGGTCGAGTCGGGAGCAGAGCTACTACCCAACTCTAGAACGACTAGATCGCTGTGAATGCTGTTCTACTAAAGGTACCAATAGAAATGAGTCGAAATGGTTGGTTGCCTCGTCAGCGATAAATTAAGAGATAGCTCTTCATGTACAATAGTCATGATATGAGAAGTTATGTGATAACTTATTATAGTATCTCATGCTGAAAAAAAGTCCCGGAGACTGGGTACTGAAGCTTTCATACAAATGTATAGGTTCCCTTTGTGTAAGGATGGCCACTCCCTAGGTAACCTTTTTCTTATAGCTCTTGAGGTTGACCGTGTATAGGGTATATCCCTGTAGTAGGTAGGTACCTAGCTATCAAAGCCAACGAATAGGTATACACTTCCTCCTATTCCGCGAGGACCGCCACTCTTAACATTAAGAAGCGAGATGAAATGTTAGTCCCTATTATTCTTCTCGACCCGTATCACAGAATGTCGTTGTTCTAAGTCAATGTCTCGCCCGTCTCCGATCTGCCGTCTCTCGTTTCAAGACTCTACATCCCAAAATCATAGTCATCGCTCTCGACGTAACACCCCAGCTCCCAAATTAATATTAGTATATTATCTGTACGAAGCAAAAGTACTTCAAAGCCACAAAAACAACACAACGCTTAACAAAATCCATCAGTCGCCGCTGATTTTAGCGTGCCTAAAGTATTTCATTCCCGTCCACGCGACGATAACCCAGACCCAGGCCATGATGCAGGTCAGTATGAGCAAGGCCGGGTAGTACCCGACGATGGGGAGGGTGGGGTCGTCCTCGAGCTCGGGGGGAGCGTAGGGGGTCGTCCCGACGTCCCAGGCCCAGCTCCAGACGTTCAGGCACGAGCCCATGCCTATCACGAACACGAACCACGTCACGACTAGCACGACCCACCCCCACCACTCCGTCTCGCTGTAGTCGTGGTTCTCGTGGTGGTGCGCAGCGGGCAGCGGGCTCGCCGCCAGCCCCTGCAGCGACAGCGGCGACTTCGCGTGCTTGATCGAGCGCCGCCGCTGGAGGGAGGGGCCCGCCGCGCGGTTCTGGAAGTACGAGTCGGAGCCGGAGGACACGGGGGAGAGTTCGGGGCGGAGCGGGGAGGGAACGCGGATAGGTATGGAGAGGATGTCGTCCTCGTCCGTGGTAGAAGTATATGATATCGCGGGGCTCGTGAGGTGCGATTCGTTGTCGGGAGACTGGGGCGAAGATACCGGGAGGCTTTCTTTCGAAGCGTAGCCGTCCATAGACGGTCGCGGCGTGAGGTCGGATATCCCCAGACCCAGATTCTCGTCGGGGGCCATGGTTTTCGGCTTGGGAGTAGTGCCCGGGTCGGGGGTTGACTGTGCGGTTTGTGATATGTCGATCGCCAAAGGCTTGAGTTCCCGCTTTTCTCGCGCGGCGCCGCGGCCTAACAGGGCAACTTTTCGAAGCGATCCCTTGCGCCTGCGAGTCTTCTGCTGCTGGAAAGTAGCGACGAGGGCGCGGGGTGGTCTAGTAGAAAGGTCTTGGGAGTTCTCGGCATGGCGGAACTCGTTGAGACCGGGTTTGTTCTCGGATGTGCGCAAAAAGGGGAACTTGGAGAGGATGCTCGCTCCAGAACCACTTCTCTTATGTCCTCCTGTTGCTATATCGGGCGATGACGCATTCTGGGTTTGTATGTGAGCTGGAGATGTGTTCTCCATTGTTTATCGTATTCCGGGCTTTGCTGTCCTTCAAAATAAGGGAGCGTCGTGCCGTTTCCCATCATGCCTCATTAGGAGAGGATATACATCGAAACTACCTTAAGCGAGAGCGTCTTTTAGTAGTTACCTAAGAGGTAGGTAATTAGTGCATCGGAATTCAATGTGAGGAGCCGTTCCCTTTGCAAAACATTTGGGTGATCTCTATATCGTAAGGCGCGGCTAAAGCCAAGGCGACAAGAAGTTGCCGTACTTTAAGGTTGTTTTCTCTGGTGTAGCTAATGAACTTTTAATGTTGGTAGCGGCTCTTTTACGGCAGTCGTCTGTTACAGGCTACAGGCTAGGTGCCTACGGTAGGTGGTATGTTTTGTATACAATTAGGTACCTCCTAATGCAGCCGGAACTCCAAAATATGCTAGCTTGGGAAATGAGTTGGTGCGCGTACCTCTCCTATAATGGGTACACATCTCCCACTAAGCGTTTCCGTGTATTTACTAATATAGGGGAAGTGTCGAACGCTATTAGTACTGCCATGGCTACTACCTAATTGAAGTAACTACCTTAGGTAGGTAACCTAAGGTAACCAGCCTAACTTTTAAACTTTAGGTCAGTCTGCATCAAGATGCGACGTCAATCCCTCCCGCATTCCAATTTGGATTAAGCACCTTTTTTTATTTCCCTTTCTTTCTTGTTGCATGCACCTCTAAAGCGGGAGACCACGGCTCCGATCTAAGACAACCTGTCAGAAAAGGCAAAGAAAAAAAAGAATAAGTCGGGAGTGATCTGACCTGAATATGGAAACGAGATGAGTGCAGCCATTCGTTCACATCATCATCATCATCATCCACACACACGGAATCACACTAGAATAATACCGTGGGTAACAAAGCAAAACTTCCCCCCTCTCCCCCCATAACTGGTACGCCGTACGGTGTACCTAGCCAGCTAGCCAGGTAGCCAACCCATTATTTTACCACCTAACTACTTCGTACCTAACCTAACGTATACAATACAATACAACTATACCCTTCTAAATCGGGATAAGCGCGAAATCGGCTTTGGGGATGGCTCCCGGAAGCCTTGCACCACCGCCAATATCTATCACCCCCGTTATCAAGACCCCCGACGACGACGGCAGCGATTACGATTTCAACGGTAGTGACGACGATAATATTCAGGTGGACTTGGATTACGCCCTATACGATAATAAGAGGTTACTTACGCCTGATCGAGACTCCTTCTACGATCCCAATCGTTTATCACCCATCGCTCCCACTTTCCAGATCAACGACTTCTCAAGTCCTCCCAATATGACCTCCAGCTCGGGCGGTCGAAACGAGAATTCTTCGCCCGTTGATATCTCCAGCTCGTCCAATGGCGCTCCGAACCCATTCAACTTTCAGACTCAGGTGATTTCCACCTCGCCTGTGAAACCAAACGTCGGCCAGCGCAGAGGCCATAAATACAAACACTCGAGCATCAGCGCCCAGCATCAGATCTTCCAAGAGCCACCGCCACGTCCACCGCTGGCTCTACCGCGCGATCTACCTATACCCACTGTGAAGGAAGCATGGAAGTCCATGTCCAAAGATCAACGCCGCCGGCTTTACTGGTGCATGTGCCACGGCGTCATCGCCATATCTGTCTTCCTCTCCGCCCATGGCTCCCTCGCCATGACCGCACTCTCCCACCTAGTCTTGTTCGACGTCGGGTCCGCCCTGATCTGCGTGGCCGTCGAAGTCCTCGGCAACTTCGAGGTGTGGAAGCGGAGCAGCATCCGACACCCCTTCGGCCTGGAGCGCGCCGAGGTGCTCGCCGGCTTCGCCCTGAGCATCTTCCTTATCTTCGGCGGCTTCGACCTGGTCAGCCATAACCTAAAGCACGTCCTCGAGGGGAAAGGCGGCCACTCGTCGCACCACCCCGACCCCCACGACGGTTTGGCTCCTAGGGTGTCCCCCGGCGACGTAGACATGGCCAGCCTGGCCGCTATCTTGGCCACCCTCGTGAGCGCGTACGGCCTCCGGAACCACGCCCGCATCAGCAAGGTCATGCGCGTCAGTTACCTCGCCAGCCTGCCCAGCGTGCTCTCCAACCCCTTCCACTTCCTCACCCTCTCCACCTCCGCCCTCATGGTTCTCCTCCCCCTGCTCTTCGTCCCCATCGGCGTACTCCTCGACAGCACCATCTGCGCGCTCGTAGCCGTAGCCATGTTCGCGCTGGGCCTGCGGCTCGCCATCGCCCAGGGCCTCATGCTTCTCATGAGCTACGGCGGACGATCCGGCACCACCACCAGCAGCACCAGCACCAGCACTTCCGGTTCCGGCTCGAGCAATCCGGGCAAGAACAAGGAGGTCGGCGTCGCGGACGTGGTGCGCGAGATCGAGGCCGAGCCCGGCGTCGAGCGCGTCGAGGAGGCCCAGTTCTGGCAGGTCCACTACGGCCTGTGCATGGCCAACCTCAAGCTCGCGGTGGCTAAGGGCGCCGGCGCCGACGACGCCGCGCTCAGCCGCCTCCGCGCCCGCGTCGCGAGCCTGATACAGAACCGGCTCGGCGAGGGGTACGGGAAGGGGGGCAGCTTGCGGTGGGAGGTTAGTCTGCAGTTGGGTACCGCGGGGACGTACTGAGGAAGGAAAGGTAGGGGACGGGATCGGTTTGTTTTAAGTTTTCGGAGCGTTAGGTACCTATATTCTGGCCTGGTTTGTTTTTTTCATTGTTTTTGTTTAATGCTGAGAAGGGAATAAAATTAAAATAAAACGTTAAAGTAATAACTCGAAGGGGGAGACAAAAAAAGGGGGGGAGGGGGTTGGGGGGGTTATACATATATCATACATTAAGTACCCCACATACATAATGAAGGTGGAGGAGGCACTGTTGTCGTTGTTGCTAGAGAGGTATGTAGATTAGAGTAGATAAGACAGGAAAGGGGAGGGGAAAGGGGTAGGGGTAGGGAGAGGGAGGTATTCGGCGAGTATATTGCATCTTGATACTTTCCCGCCGTGTGTATATAGATAGGGAAGAGGTGTTTAAGCGACGAGACTCTGTATATATATGTGCCGTTATGGTCTATAGGTAGGTTAGTTAGTTAGTAGATTGGCATGTCTAGGAACGGGCTTGGACAAAAAGAGAAAAAATATATAATATATCTTTAATAGTTACCTAAAATAGTAGAATAGGAACGGCGTCTTCCTGTGTCTGTCTTGGTAGTTATATGAGGGAAGTGTGAAGTATGTGATGATGGTGGTGATGGTGATGGTATCGTTTAGAAACACTATAGCGGGTGGGCAGTTATTAATACATGATATCTATCATACATACATAGGTGCCTGGGTAGGTGGGTAGCAGTATACACAAGATCGTACTGAGATATCGACCTGTACCATATAGAAGGTGGTAAGTTACTCTAAACGCTGTATACAGTAAAGGTGTGCCCGGGATAGTTCGCCCTCACCCCTTACGTGTTACATGGCTGGATACATCTACCACATCGCCGCACCAAGCCGCAATCACGCCGCAGGCTATCAAGATAGAATGGCATCGTATATCCAACCTACCACCGTTTATTGCAAGGTGTACAGGAAGGGGGAAAGGGGGGGACGAGGCCGACAGATGCCGTCCTTCAACCTTGATGGTCAAGTCGCCCGGCAGACCTATGGGCAAATGGGGTGGGAGGGGGTTGGCTCAGCTTCGCGTTACTTTAGGTAGCTTCATGCTGTATTCCATTATGCTTACTACCTGAGATACTAAATAACGAATAGGAAGAAAAACTGACTCGCTATACTAACAAAATAAGTAGAAAGTTTTTGTTAGTTACAATAAAACAAAAGCGACTTCCTCGCAAGTCGTAAGAGAAAGAGAAAATCCCGCTCCCAATATGATAAACAGAACATGGATATGTATACCCAAGCGAGGCATATCTCGTCAACGAAAATATGAGATGAGTTCCACGTTCACTCATATCAACTCCTAACCGGACCGAACCACCTCCTATACCGAGGGACAACCATGGGCTACTTTTCCTAAAGGGACACGTTTTCATTCGCGTCCCACAGCGTTTGACGGATCCACTCGAACTTCTCCCAGAAGTCGTCCAGCCTCTTCTGCAGCTCGTCCTGGGCCGCGTCGCGGTAGCGGACGGCCACGGGGCTCAACTCGATGAACCCTTCGTGCTGGCGCTTGAAGACGACGTATTTGAGCTTGAGCTTCAGGACGAGGCCGGTGAGGGTGGCGAAGGCGGCCGGGTTGATGGGGAGGGGGATGTTGGGCCAGCGCCTACGGAACTGCTCGAACTCTAAGCGCAGGTCCTCGATGTGCGTGTTAACCATCGACGACCACTCGTGCTCGATGGCGATGGCGACGTTCGATTTGGCGAACATGTAAAAGCCGGGCAGTTTCTGCGGTTCATCGATGGCGACGAACCGGAAGTTGTGCTTCTTGGGCCGATCCACGAATCTGGACCGATGGCCTTCGTACAAGCTCGCCATGTTCATGTGCAGCTCTCCGTCGGTCGGGAGGACGTTGGGGGGTGCGTACGGATCATCGACGTCTTCTTCATGGAATAAATTAGACCCGGGATGGACTAATACCCAAGGAGCGTACATCCGGCTCTGTAATTCCTGGCCTCCGAGTAGTGCCAGTTGCTTGTAAATTTCCACCCACCTCTCCAGCGCGTCCGGATTTAGGGGCCGGCCGACGCGGGGAACGGCGTGCCCGTCTATGCTGAACTGGTATAAGGGGCAGGTTGTTTGCAGCTCCTCGGGTAGGATGGTAACGCCAGGGCGGAGGAAGTGGCTGGATATAACATCGCCGCACTGGTAGAGTAGTGGGGAGCGACACAAGGGGCACCACATCTGGCTGTCTCGATATTCGCGCGGGTCCTAGACTTGCGTCCATTGTACGAGGCATTCGGCGTGGAAGCCGTGGCGGCAAGGAAGTATCGTAGTCTCATCCTCTTCGATTTTTAGCCAACAGATAGCACATTCCGTTTCATTTTCAGAGGGTGGGATTGATGTTGTCTCTACCCCATCACCAGCGGGTTGCTGAGTTCTGTTCGGCCCTGCTTCCGTTTCCGTAGCCTCCATTTCATTTAAGTCACCTGATATAGGTATCTGTTCTAGTTTCTCTGTCCGCTTGTACTTTAGGATAGGATAGTATGAGCTTATAAATCATCACCGGCTTTTTAAAGAAGCATCATTAACGATAGTTAGTCGGAGTATGGATATTCAAGATAGTAATAACGTAATATTAGAAGCAAGGTATGCTTTTTATATTGAAGAAGGTCGAGAGAATATTCAATGTGAATGAAGTGAAGGATGAGTAATTTGGTTAGGTTAGGAGGTAGGTACCTTCTTGGGCACCTCCTATGTTGGGCACCTCCTCAGGTACCTGTTAAGACACGATCATCTGGAAGTTGCGACTATGACAGCGTAGGTTCCTAAGAGAGGTACCTACCTGGTAGGTAAGAAGCAAACGAACTTAGGGAAACAACAGACAGCTGTGTAGATGGTCCACCTTCCTGGATGTGTTGTTAGGTAATTTCCTTGCTTTCCCACTCCGAAATCTGGGTCAAACTTATCCTGTCTTTTCAATTTACTTACATCTTCCTAGGTGCCTTAGGTATATATAACCTTAGAAGCACATCTACTCAACTGGGAATTAGCTTATAAGTTATAAGATTGCCACTATCATTACTATCATTACCATCATGTCCAATATTCGATCAATCACGCCCCTTACCTCTCTGTCCGTTAGCAGAATGGATATTTACTTCCCGTGAGGTCGCCAACAGAATGTGACAAGCCCTCAAAACTGGTGCACATATTACACCAAAAAAAGGCCATTGGAGCGCTCACACGGCATCCCAATCTCCCTTGAGGGAAAACGAACAGTTAAGATCTAGCAGGAAACCGGCGTATTCGGTCATTGTTGCTTCAAATATCGCAATACCGTCACATCCCTTCCTTGACCAACTTCGTCTCAATGGCTTATTTGCGATCAGATCAGATCCGAATAAGACGAAACAGCCACGATGGTCAGAGTCTCATCGCAGCGTGGGTGCGTTGCGTTCTCCTGCCTGGTAGCTATACGATTCGAGCAGAGCTAAGCAGAATGGCCTGCATTGATTTCCCGTCTATCCGTCCGTCTGCGCGTCTCCGACCCGAGAACAGAATCCTCTCTGGCGTTCCACATAGGTTGGCCTGATTAGGGACAAAACCGCGAGTGCAGGTGAGTATCTGACCTACCTTAGGTACCTACCTTGCCTAGATTGCCTATCCGTCTTCGGTTTCATCTCGTCTGGTTCTCGCATGTGTTGCGTTCATTGAAATGTGACGGGGTTTCTGTGATAATGCAGCAGATAGGAGCATATAGCGTCGCTAACGGCACTCGGCACCTGAGGCTGAGATACGATCTTGACAAAGCCGTAAGGTGTTGTGTATGTATATGTGTGTACGTATGTATACCTAATACAATATGTACCTAATATAGGTACGTACGTGTGCATATACACACCGCTGGCTCTTTGGGGTCATAGTTCGCGGATTCAAGAGCGCACCGGAAAGACGGGTTGCATTCGATAATAAGTCTTGTAAGCGACGGGAAGAAATATTCGTGGCACATTAGGGGATGCGATTGGGAGGGAATCGATGCAAACTTGTACGATGCGTATGTAGGAGAAGGAGGTGGCGAGGTGGTGAGGTGGTGGTAACGGTTAAGTAGCGGTCAAACGATACCCCGAGGGATTAATTGCCCATCTATTAGGTTTAAGTGCGTAATGTACGAGGTAATGTATTGTACCGTATGGTCTGGCTTTTAGCGAACGAGTTGTCGTTTTGTCATTGGTTTCGCAGAGATACTAACTATCAGATAGGTATCAGATGGTGGTGGAGATGAGAAGAAAGGTGGCGCCGATAATTATTCCTTCGCGGCTCATGTAGGTACACACATACCTCTTATTATTGTCCACCTACGGTAAGTAAAGTGAGTCTTAGTCCACATTAAATTAATACGTTTTTCTTATACTACCTTGTCGAAACCTGAAAGTGTCGACTTGCGTCCCGGAGCCAACGTGGCACAGCATCGAACATCAATACACTACCATGAAGAAGAAGCTTGTTTGCATTGGGGCATGCTATGTCGATACTATCCTTGAGTGAGTTTTGAAAAAAACGCCCACCCCCTTGTTGCATAATAAATAAGCATGGCATGGGCCTGACTCAGATCAATCTCACGCATGTCGTAGCGTGCCTCAATACCCGGGCGAGGATTCCAAATTACGTGCCACCAATCTACAAGTCCGTCGAGGTGGCAATTGTCCAAACACGCTTCAAGTGCTCCAGCAGCTGCTCCCAATAAGGAGGAAGCAGGATGATGATGGCGGCGGCGGTAGCAGCAATGGTGGTCAAGACCTAGAACTCAAACCTTACCTGATATCATGCCTGCCTAGGGCCGACACGCCTGCGACGGCAACCATAACGGGCTCATTTGGACCGGGAAGCCTGGTCGATTTCACGAGGTGCATATTCCGCGAGGATCACCACCAGCCCGCGAGCAGCTACATCATACGCAGCGAAGCCACCGGGAGCCGCACCCTCGTGAACTACAACGACTTACCTGAGATGACGATAGGCGAGTTCGTCGCCGCCGTCGAAGGGATCGGCGACAACGACGACGATGTCTGGTTCCACTTCGAGGTACGCCTAACACTTATTATATCTATTATATCACCTCTTAGCCCCCCCCCCCCCTCTCTCTCCCCCACACACACGGGAGATGAATACATAAGGCGGGTTTGTAAAGGTTTGCATTTCTGTTTGCAAAGAGAAGAGGAAAACCGGGGAAATCCCAACTGCTTCTAATCCGGAAACTCACCCCAAAGCGCAATGCACAGGGACGGATACCTGAAACTACGTTGCAGTGCATTCGGCATGTAAGGCGGTCGTTCCCCAACGCGAGGGTAAGCGTCGAAGTCGAAAAACCGGGCCGGGAGGGTTTGGAAGAGCTGGCGGCTGAAGCGGACGTTGTGTTCTATTCGCGGAGCTGGGCTGAGGTGAGTCACCCTTCTCCTTTTCCTTTTTTTCCTTTTTTCCTTTTTTTTTTTTTTTTTTTTAAATTTTTTTATTATTATTTCTACTCGTGCGAAAAAAAGACTGGATAGTATGCATGCAGTAATAAAAGGAAAGGGGGGGGATAATGATAATGATGATGATGATGATGATGATGGCTTGCTGCAAGGTTGATTTAAGTCAAGACAGTTAAGTTAACCATCAGACCCGATCTACTAGAGTAAGCGGTACGGTAGCGCTCAGCAATGCTTGAGTGCCCAATCGGGCGTGGCCCGCAAAGCGTGAGTTGAAGTTGCGTTGCATTGGTTTCTGGTCACTAAAAGGGAAAAAATGAAACGATTGCTAGCAAGCAAGCAATCAAGCAAAGTACCTACAGCGATTATGCTGAGATACAGATATACCTAATAATAATTAATGGTTGATTGCAGGAGTCTCCTCTGTTGTACGTGGGGATCGGACGGTGCCTCGTGTCTATCACTTCCCAGTGGGAAGGCCGTGTCTTGTCCGGCTACGTCGCCTAGGCAAACCATTTCCGTGGTGGAGTACGTCCTGTCCTGTCTTGTCCAGTCCTGTTTTGTCTTGTCTTTCTATTTTGTCTATCTCTTGTCAGACCGCCGGAGGCAGCCCCCTAGAAACCGGGCCTTTGCGCCGGGGCGTTTATCCCCAAGAGGAAGAAGAGGAGAAGATGGGGAGGAGCAATTTAATAAGAGACAGAGAGAGAGAAAGAAAAACAGAAAGCAAGATTGATGCAGACTTGGTACTGTACCTGTTGTTTGGCTAACGGAATATCCCTGCGTCTAGCACCGTAGGAGCAGGTGACACCTTCATTGCCGGTATGCTGTTCGGGCTGCTGTGCCACCACGAGGACTGGGACACCGAGAGGAAAGTCCAGTTTGCTGTGCAGCTGGCTACGCGCAAGGTGCAACGGGACGGGTTCGACGGTCTTGGTCTTTGGTCTTGAGTTGGAGGAGGGGGAGTAAGAGTTACCTACCTAGGATCTAGGCGCAAGTACCTGGTATTGAATAGTAAGTAGCAGCGCCGGGAAAGTGGCGTCGTCACAAAACAAATGAAACTTTTTTTTTTAGGTCGATCGATTTTTATGAGATGTGACCGACTAATTGACTTGTGACGGGCTGGCTGGCGAAGAGGAAACCCCATGGTCGTGTGACGGGATGAAAAATAAAAGACTTCCAATTAATAAAACAATACTCGACTAGGTAAATACCAACCTAAATTAATAACTCTCAGACTCGGGGGTGGGAGCTGGATTGGCAAACAACACGATAACTCTCCTTATCTAGTGTTATTTTTTTAAGAGTCATTTTCAGGTTCATGTTGTTCTAATGTAGTTCGCATGTTAGTTTAGGTTAGGTACCTGTTTCGGATGCAAAGCAAAGCAAAGCAAAGTAAGAAACCGGCTCCATTAAAGAGCTTGCATGGATCGGTGACTTCTTCGTAACGAAACGAAACGAACGTACCATATACCGCATCGTACATATAGGTAGGTATCCCGGGGAAGAAAAGAGAGAGAGATACATATATACCCAAGGTGGGGGCAACCAACCCCATCCCTTGGATTGGTAGAAGAAGTAGGTGGTATATAGTAGGTAGTAGTATTATTAGTGATTATGATTAGTAGAGCAGGTGTGATTATCCTTTCTAATGGCGGTGCTGGCCTGTATATGGATATTGTACATACATATGTAAATACGTACATACATTAACCTACATCGTACAATACATGGCGTAGAAACGGCCGATGCGTGTTGTTCCACTTGCCGGCCGTGGAGAATGGAAGGTGGAAAAGACCGGCCGAGACTGGACGATCGTTCTGCAGAGGGTCTTCGAATTAGATGCTAGCAAAAGGCATGGAATAGGGTAGCTAAACGGTACAATACCTACCTACCTACCTACCTACATTAATAAGGGTACAAGGAGCGGTGAAACTGTGGATCGGTTGGTTGGTTGGTGTGTGAGAGATGGATTCTGCCCGGAATGGTAATTCGTAAGTTGTTTAGGAGGACTATACTACTACCTTGCAGTGTATCTGAGTACGAGTACGGGTTGCCTACGAAGATGAGGTCTACGAGTGGACGTTTTGATACTAGGTATACTAAATTGTAATGTAAATAGGGGGGAACCTGGAATGGGCAATACTCCGCAAGTAACACATCTCATAGTTACCTACCTTGGTATGTTATGGTCAAACACGAAGAAGGCTCTTTACTACAACATCCCTATTCTATATCCATGCCCGTAGTCATACCCATAGCCATAGCCATGATGATCTATACCTGCGTTGGGTATCTTGACCTACCTAACGTAGCATATCTATAATATGACTGACTAGTACTTATACATATGCAACTCTATATGCAACTATTCCCGCATTTTGTCGATACGACAGCCTGTATCCACAATATGCGTTTGTGTCTAACTAATGTAACTCCCAAGTCAGGCGAAGTTCAGTTCAGTTGTTTACGTTTATATACCTGTCGCATCGCATCGCATCGCATCCCACCTTTCGACTTTCCTATGCGAGAGAGTAATAAGAGTCCCTCGGGTTGTGGATGCCCGGAGCCGCTACTCCTGTGCTCCGTAAAGTCTGGACCGCCGGGACATTGCCCACATATGTTGGGGGGTTATGGAGGAGGGGAGAGGGGGGCATTTTACCTTTGCAACTATGATGAATGATGGCACGACGAACAAGTCGTATCGAGAAACTTCTGAACGTAGGATCGGGACGTCTTCTCAGAAGTTGGCACCGGAAAGAGACTAACAACATATAATACCTATTCGGCCCACGGGCCATCACCCCACGACACTTTTCTTTTCTTATATCTTACCTATGTAAGGTAGTGTTTATATATATTATATTGATAAAACCCCTTAAATCACTTGACGAATAACCCATGTCCGGCAGTGCGTGGCGGTTCTGGAATCTCGCATATTACGTATGTACGATACCTCCTCCTCCTCGTCAACCTTGCCTGTCCCTACCTAAGGTACGGATGTTGAAAAGCCGTTATCGAATAACTCTTCCAAGGTTTTTACGGCCTAGTTAGTTAATTATAATCATCTCGCCTTGGAATCGTATTGTACCGAGGAAATCTCTGCCCCTCACTCTCCCACTCCCGCCCTCCCTTATCGAAATCGGCCTGACCCAAAACCGACGCCACCCCCAAAAATCGAAGAGCTTCTTGGGATGGTGGATGGGTTGGGTTACCTAGGTAGGTACCCCTCCAGCTCGAACCCTCATCTGGTGGGTGGCCAAGATTGTGGTCGGGAGAAAGAGCTGTATGGGTAAGCTACGAGCCATCACTTAGACGTGCTTAACGTATGTGTGTATGTAAGTGTGTATGTATGTATGTCCATACGCATGCATGTGTGTATACATACAGGTAGGTAAGAGTATGTATTGTTCCGGAAGATATGCGACCGCTACGAAGATTGGGTCATTGGTTTGAATTTTTGCAGGAGACGGTACCTAGTCATGACGCAACCAACCCTTTATTTTGCTTTGCCTTATATTGTACGAGGGGGGGGCAGTCAGTCATACATACCTAGTTGATCATTCGCCAACTTCCGTTGTAAATCATGTACGAACTACCTAGAAGGTAGTTAACCTAATGTCATGTACCTTGTATGAGGTATGTATGTAGGTATGTATGGCTGGTAGGTAAATGTTTAAAAAATGGCAAGTGATTGATTGCTACGTGCTAGATGATGTGCCGCTGGAATCAATGCTCCATCGTCCTGAAGGAACACTTCTGACGACAAGGTGCGCAGAAAATTCGGGCATTTCGGATACATCTCTCCTCTCCCCTCGAACAAATTTCACCTTTTTTCCCCCTTCGCTTCCTCTTTTCGTTGTTGCGGTCAGACGATTTCGAAAAAATACTAATAATAATTCTTAGCGCTTTTACCTTTTGTTTTAAGCATAGTGTTTGCGGACATGCAATATTCTTGTTCAGGCTTTTCCGAAATAGCATTGGCTTTTTTTCCCCCTTGAACCCTCGTTTGCATATCTATTTTGAGAGTTGAGAGGAGGTGTGATGGAGAGAGGTCATGTTATCCGGATATATACGGTAGGGAGTACTACATACTACTCCTGTCCCATTCACCGAGGCTTTTCGATATTGGTTTACGCGAATATTACCTAGCTTAGGTATTAGATTACCCCCCTACTTACCTTTGCTACTTCGCCCACGCTGATGGCGCCGAAGCCTACATACCTAGGTAGGTAGTAGTAGTAGCGACGCAAGCTTTGGATGTGATGATGATGATGATGATTATTATTGATTGCTGGTCTTGGAAAGAAGTCCGCCCGCCATAGTAGACTAGGTACCAACCGGAGTTCGACCCTGATCCTGTCCGGAATGACGGTCTCCTACTGTAATAAGTGTGAGCGTAAGACAATATGAATATAAACAGATGAAGATTTCCTGGTTGTTCCTATGGTTACGTGCCAAAGGTGATCTTATCCGGGTCTAATACACAAAATGCTTAACGCCATGCATGAGTACATAATGTCACTGAACGGTGGCTCAGTTCTTGTTCGACCTGACTCTAGCGGAATATGCCTTCAAACGGGTTTGCTTGGCGGTAACTGATACACTACACTGGGTTAACAAGTTTCTTGCTCCCGAGGCTCAGTCGTGGCTCGGAGGAACAAGGTTTGGGGGGAACAACGTTTTGGTAGTATGTGAGTAATGATAGTTAGCTGCTTGTATTGCGAAACCCGAGTCTGACGCTACCGATTACTATTGGTGCTATTGGTGCTATTGGTGGTTAACGACTTACGACTTAAGCTATCGAACTACATACATAGTAGTAGTAGGTAGCTTCATCTACGAGGGATCGTCAGCCTCCTTTTTTTTTTTCTCTTTTTTTTTTTTTTTGGCGAAGTGTCAGGTCGGTCTAGGTCGATCAATGAGAAAATTTATCTTTAACTAACGGCCTACCAAGTGGCATGGATGGGTCCATTTACGGTGGACAGCAAAGGGCCATGTTCCTTGAAATCCACTCGCCGGATGCACGCCGAAGCAGTATTTTGCTGGGTACTCTACCTAGTACAACTCTGCACATCTGGGATTCAAAGACAAATCGTTGATGCGCCTAATTAACCAATATATGTATTGTATTGTACAGATTCCTGAACCGTGGGCTGAAATTGGAACAGGAAGGGAAGTTAAAAGTAGACCGAGCGCCTAGGATCGGGCCCTTGGCTGAACCCCTCCAGTCTCCTTGTACAATACACGCTGTGATTCGTACTAGTAGCCTGTAGCCTGTGGCCTGTTAGGGATCCTTCTATGTGATATACTACCTACTCATAGGCGCTCTCATAAAGGATGTGACCCCTTACGAATTTATGCTACCTACCTAAGGTATGTATACGTATGTTTTGTATTGTACGTATGCTTGGTATGGCCTATGGCCGCTAGCACTCATGGTCGATCTCTGCGGCACCATTGGGACTGTCCAACCCCCACAGCGAGACAGACGAGTTACAGCAAGGGTCGATTGATAACCTTGTGAGATCTAAATCAAGTGGTCAGCCAAGTTCTAGGCTGGCAGGGCTCGGATACGGCTTTACTGTAAAAAGAAATGGAAATCTTCCAGAGAATTCCCTGGCATCGTTTTCTACAACATCCTTATGAACCCAAATCCCCATCTTATCCTTTCACAAGATCTAGCCCAAGTAGGCATAATGAGTGCGTACTATCTCCTACTAACTATCGTGGGCCGTGGCTGATCGTTTATACGTACGAATACATACATACATACATACATATTTTACACTTTGTACATAAGCTTCTCGTAACAATACACAATGGCGTCCCCGATAGGATTCCGCTCGAGCCGTCTATGCAATTCATTGCTACGCAAAAGGAACCATAGCTAATGAGATTAATAAAAATCATTTGACTTACCCGGCGAGCGTGGCACGGGACCAGTGAGGTGAGTACATAGTAGTGTACATGTCTGGTATGTGGTGGGACGGGTAGGATGGGCGCTTTAAGCAACTCGCTCCTCTAATTGAATCGTGACGATGACGATGGTGCATACTTTCGCAACCTTGAATCGCGAGCGCCTCTTTGGCCCCCCAGACCCCCTTGACTTGCCAGCGCCACACTTTTTCAAACAAAGATTTATGAAGAGCTTGGGTTAGCGCCAGCCCCGGTCAAATCCACAGCTGACAAGTACAGTCGTTAATATTATAGTCACCAAAGTCACCAAGCGGCACGAGGGAAACGAGTCCGCACTTTTGAGCGCACAGATCGCCTCCGGGCTTACCTTAAGGTAGTTGGACCGCTCAGTTGGCAACGTAACAGCGTAACCACGCCCAAATAAGTAGTATTCCTAGGTAGTCTCTTCCTGGTACCCCTACCGAAACCCTGACTACCTAAGTTGATGGGCGCGCCATGATCATCAAACGAGGAAAGAAAAGAAAAAAAAAAGATTTGGCCGCAACAAGGTGTTGTGGAGACATGGAAATGTCCAACTGGCAACTGGCTTTTGGCTTTTACACGATCCTGCTACTCATTGCCCATTTGACACAAAGTGACAAAGGCGGGCTAAGATCGGTTCGGAGTTCCCAAGGAATCGTAGCGCATTTATTAGTCTTCCTCAGCAGGATCCCATGCAAGTGGTATTACCTAGTGGACGTTGCATTTGGCAAGGTGCTTGTTCCAGATGAATACGATATATCTACCGCGCGATCAGCCATTGCGAGGTTTTACAGTAACCCATGGGATGCAGGTATGGATCTTGTTTCACCGAGCCTCTTTTTTTAACCCTCATAAGCTCACGGTCAAAGAGAATGTGACTCGCGACCTACATAGTTAAAGTGCAAAGTCCTTTCATTCCCGTTTCGCCTGCAGGTAAGCTGAAGGTGGCTCGTCGCAAAAGACGGCTTAGTTGACGGAGGGGAAAGGAGGGGGTTAAGAAAGTTTATTGGAGGTGGGACTGCAAGAACACATAGCAAATTTAACCCATCTCTGACTCGCAGAGTGCTTGCATCAAGTCGTGATCGGTGTTATCCCTATCGGCGACAGGATTGCCAGACGGAGGACCCTACACATCAGTGTGTATTCATTCAACGGGAATAGCGTCGCTGACCGAATAACATGCGAGATAAATTACCATAGTCCCATCGTCTTTGATATCCAGGTGTCTAGCAGCAGGGCCAACAAGGCCAGCAAGGCCGGCAGGGCTAAAGGGATTCTTGCTTCGACAAAGCCGCTTGTGCTACGCTTCAATGCTACCTGCGTTAGGTGATGCTTCAATGATCCCGGATCAGCATAGACATTGGTTGACTTAAAATCATAAATCGCAGGTGAGAGCGATCCCGACTGAATCCTTGAAAGAAATTTGGTTGGTCGAGCGCGTAAGCCGTGTTGTAACTTTCAATCCATAGGTAGGAGCAAGCCGGCAGACGGCTCCGTTGACCAAGGGGAAATTGGGCGCAACTTGTTTCTTTGGAGACCGGGATCTTTCCACCTGCCTGGGGCCTTGAAGCTAACGGATCCGGGCATGGAGGGGGTTTCATTCTGCGCACCACTCGCGCAGATACGCTTTTTGGACAAGAGGCTAATAAGGATCACGAAATATGATGATCGGTGGCTGAGTGTACATATGTGTTTATGTGTGTATGAGTGTAATAATAAGAGTTGCGCGTATTGTATTGTACCTTGTATTCGAAACAGTAGGTACCTATGTAATGCAACCCTGATTCGTACCGGCGGCAAGAAGGGTCGAGAGGGTCAGGTCAAGTCCTCTACCGATATGCTAATGTAGAGAACCATCATCATCATGGCGAAACAAATGCAGCCAGCCACGGTTGATTACTCGGGTACTTAGTAACCTTACTTCGTACAGCTGGTCGTATACGTGGAGTTATTTCAAGGTTGCGTATTACACTAGATGCATTGGGAGGATATCGTTAGATGTCATAGGTAGAGATGATGTTTCTTACCTGATCAACCGGATGGGGGATGTCAGAGATGTCTAAGAGCCAATCTAGGTAATTAATGCGGACATTGAAGAAGGGGGTATTTTGTTTAGGATCTGCATCTCTACTTTTTTTTTTTCCTTTTTCTTTTCTTTCTTTCTCTTGTAAATGTGTACTCAACAAAAGTGACTGAATCTTGGAAGCGACTAAAATGACTGAAGTGGTTGAGTAACCCGAAATGCCCTTAGGCCGAGTGAGCGGATTATGTGCATTGAATTGTCGTTGTTTGAGATTGAGAAATGGCATCCATTAGTTTATTAGTTTATGATCCACAATGTTAAAAAAGTGATTGAGTGATGGGTAAACAACATTTAGATCCATGAAGCTTGATGCACCTGATACATATTATTAAGTACCTAACCTTAGGTGCATGTAGTTTGTCTCATTAGGGTCGTTGCTGTACCTAACATGGTGGTCGGCAAAGGAAATCGCAAAGCCGAGTTACGAGTTACGAAGTCGCCTAACAAGAGGAACAAGTTTTATTAGCGCATCTGCTAGTATTGAAAAACGTAAAACGTGGGCAGCCCAGTACATAATGATATTCAAATAGGTAGGTACCTTAGGTTAGGTATACACTAATCTTCCCTCTCACAGGGGGGTTTAGGGGGAGCTAGTTAAGGAAGGCAAGGAGCGCCCGCATGGAAAAAGGTCGGCGGAAAAGTACCCTACTGAAGCATGGCAGGCGGGTCCCACTGCCCGTCTAACATCTGATATTGCAATACCTTGGTACTTATTATAGTAGTACGTAACTTCGTACCTAAGTATGTATGCCCTATACCCGCGCGGCGCAACTCTTTGCTGTCATGGGATAAACCATACATAGTAGACCCCAGCAATGCCATGTACATGCACAGACTACGTAAGGCACATGCATTATGTATGTTTTAGGCATGCAAGTTTAGGTATGCATATTGAATGTGTATACATAGTATACATACCTACCTGTATTACCTTAGGTACCTCTAGGCTCTAGTTAGGTATTGGACCCTGTCGGTCTTGCCCACATGAGAGACAACTCTAACTCAGATCCAATCAAGCCTCCGAAAATAGTCCCATTTAAGATGGGATCACAATTCAACCACCACAGGTACGATCTCGACCAAGTCAATATCACGCTTCGTCTAATAACAGTAGTACCAACATACCTAACTCCATATTATACCTACCTAAAGTATGTTCCATAACAAATGTTCCATAAAACTAATTAATGTGCTAAGATCATTCATTACTACTGTTTATTACTACTGAATCGTATGGATTGCTTCTTCTTTTTTCTTCTCCTTCTAGCCCCCCCTGCACGTACCACTCATATTATGTACTGTCAGAACCCGAGAAGAGCCCCTTATTCATAGTCGTCTAGTTAACTTCTAAAGTAGTACACAAAGCTAAGACTTCTTTTGAAGAGAGAGAAAAAAAAGTAAGGTACCTAGTCAGTCTTCTTACGTATGTAGCACGCAGTTAAGGCAGTACGCTACTACATTCAGCTCTACCCTTGTGTTAAACAAGGTTACCTTTGAATATGTACGGCAATATGTATGGCCGCCGTGGCCGTGCGCCAACGGGCCGCAAGGTACGTATGTACGCGGCGTATATTCATCGAGACCGTCAGGGAGGAGCTTCGGGTTCGAATTTTGTCCTGTGACGAATCGAGAAAAGGGAACACGTCTCTCGCCTAACAACACGATTCTTCTATCAAATCGATACCAATAAAGCCTTAATTTCTTACCTAGTACACGGCATGCGGACAAAAAGAAAAAGGTCCTAGCTTGCTTGAAATATAAGGTACATTATACAGGTATGTACATGCAATACCTAAAGGAAGCATACCAACGTGCAGACATGAGTTCGCCTCCGCGTACTCCCCACACATTCCGCCAAATCTTACCCCCCTTTCTCACTAAATTCCGTCCTAAGAAAAGCGTTTTACGTCTTGGCGCGGTGGCCAATTTCAAGGCCTGGAGACAAGCCGGGACAGGCCCAAGGTAGGAAAAAGAGAAGCCAGTGTTGCTCCCTGCGCCCATGCCCATGCCCATGGTCCGCTTGCATGGTCCACTGAGGCAGGCTTGGGACAGGCTAATGGGCTAATGGTAATACGTGCCATGGACTGTTGCGTAGCGGTAATTATCACCTACCCCCTCGGGTTCGGCTAACATCATATTCCCAGTATTCTTAGCGTAAGCTGGACCTCGTCACCTTTCTACATAGTATCGGCAGCGACCCTCTCTAGCAGGGGTCGGTTTATGTGGTACGGTACAGTACGTGTATTCAATGCTAACATCGAGCCAATCACATCTGTTCTGTCCAGGGTTACCTTACCGATGGAACCGCCCTGGATTCGAAGAAGCATCTGCTGGATCTCACCGGAGCAGCCAACTCGCTCTTATGTAAGTTATACATTTACCTAGAATTCAATTCCCTGGTCCCAATTCGAATATACAAGTGTACATTTCGTCCGAGAAGTCTTTGGATCCTTGTAGGGCCGCAGCTAGAAAAGCCATCAATTAACTGAGCACGCCCCCTTTTGCCGTCTGACATCCACACCCCCTTGAACACGATGTAATGAGCCTATTAGCAACGGCCGTCAAGCAAGGCTCGCTCTCTCGCGCTAGGATAAGCACACATCCTTTCCCCCTTCCAACGCACCCTCCCGCTGAATTTTGGTTCACGTTCTACAAGTTTACACACCCCCTTTTTACGTCGCACGCCCTCCACACCATCCACTTTCGTTTACGCCGCAGAAGCACGGTACGGAAAAGGTAAGGCAAGGCAAATGGGAGCCAAGGGTAGTCCTGCGACAGGCGCGTAGTGCCTTTGTCCTTTTTGGACGTCGTTCAACCCGTTCCTTTGACCGCCCACCTAGTTTAGGTACTTAGAAATATACCTTGTACCTAACAAGCGACTACAGGAGAAAAAAAATCAAAGACTGTAACCCAGTCTAGCCTACAACGCCAACTTACTGCCATCATCATCATCCATCCGTCCCCGGTTTATCAATACAATGAAGGATCCCTTTTTAGACCGACTAGACCCCTGCCGGAACCATATGACGCAGGAAGAGAAAATAATACTACGGAGCTAAGTACAGCTAAGCGGGAACCGTCATACAGGTGAAGCAGACACGCGCAGACACGCACTTACATGCATACATACTACATACATACACATGCCAAACCAGACCATGTCTCTAGGTAGGTATTGTTTCTCGGCCCTATCGCCCCAATATAACCATCCGTATGCCATCTCACATAGCAGCATGTCCCCACGCTTTTAGTTTGGTTTATTCTTTTTAATGAAGCCCTTTGCCTTCTCATGTTTACCACATTCTTGAACTTAGTAGCCTAAGTTAGCCTTTGAATAAACCTCATATTTACCTGCCCATCCTACATATATCTTGGGTCCCGTCACTCAGCCATTCACTCACGGAATCCTCACCGGCACCTTGATCACATATATCTCTTACAACTTCTTATCACCATGATGCCCTCAGTCTTAGGGGCTAGTATGCCTCACATGCCACCTCAGGGTTATTCGTCAGATCCAACGTTTGATGAACTATCACGGCAGCTCGCTTTCTCCGACTCTATGCGAAGGATATCTCGTGGTTCAACTGGACAGCGGACGACGGGAGCTATGCGTATTGTCAAGCCGAGTAGTGCCAACAATAGTCCGCAGGCTATGATGGCGCGGCGGAGAACTATGATGAACGATAGTAACCTTGCTCGACGACGCCAGCAGGCTTTGGACCAGGCTTTCCTACAGGAGATGCAGCAGCAAGACTATACATCTTACTCGTCACCAGAAGATCCCATCAAGCGGAATAACCGACCAGTCAGTTGGCATCCGACTTCACACCTCCAGCAACCACATATGCATATACCTATGCCACAACCAGACTTCTCACAATACGTTGTTCCAACACCGATGCCATATCAACAAACAGACATTTATTCCGGATATCAGCATTTACCACCAACCCCGGCTGTATACTCCGGACAAACTTCGCCTATGTCAAGCATGTCGCCATTATGCCTACCATATGGTGGCTCTCAAACTCAGCCTATGCCAACTTACATATCACATGATGCGTGGAACCCTACACCGCAGATGATTCCTAACTATACAGTAAACTCGAGTCCCAGCGAGTTGGAACCATTCCCGTCTTTTGATAGTCAAAATTCATTCAACTGGGATAACGGGTTTAATTCTCATGAATTTAATACTTGCACGGCACCCCCAACGCCGGACGAGTTCCAGCCCATGCAACAACCACAACCAGTAGTTACTCCTGAGGAGTCAATACCGTATCAACCACTTGAGGAGCAAGAGGAGGAAGGAGAAATATTAGTGGGCATGGGATTGTATGATCCGCCATGTAAGATAGATGACGACCCGAGCTTGGACAACTACCGAACAACGACATCACAACTATTAGACTCAACATATAGAGGGCGAGGTCGTGGATGGAAACTAGAAGAGGCTTGGGAGCCGCCAGCATCAGACGACGAAGAGGACAACGAGGAAGAAAATAACGAAGAAGACGAAGGAGAGAAGGAACAGGCCACAGAGTCAACCTCAACCGAGCAAAACTGGATATAAAAAATCCGGTATATTTCTTTTCCGGGACAACTACGTACAACTCCATCCGGGAGCAAGTGAGGGACGAAAGGACTCGAGCAAGAGAAAGAATCCTCAGGAACGTCTAATGCCTAGAAGGACCATGTATGCATATATATTATGCATAGAAGAAATTCGTAAAAGATACCAATAGCTGGATCTGAAAACTTAAGTGCAATTAGGAATTCCGCATTTTAGCTTTGACCATCCAGACAAAAAAAATCAAAAATTACTTGGAAAGAATCTCGATTTCGCTGCAAGCATGCATAGTAAGAATTGGTGACATGTCATTTGTGACGACTCGTTAGCCGCGGTAAGTCGATTGGGTATTTACTACCTAACCTAAAGTAAAAATTCATCACGATTCTTGACCTTCAATGTGTAAGCGGTTATATTGTAGGTCTTGTATTGTATGATTGTATGATTGTACGTACCCAGCTTCTGCCCAGGTCAAAATCGTTAAAGATCTAGGTTAAGGCACGTAGGGAAGGCGAGCTCTGATAGGCCGGGACTAATTTTACGTTTGTTCGATATGCAGGGGACTAGAAGCTCGGGCCAGGACGGCCGGGGCAGGGATCTCCAACGTTCTATTTGGGGCTCTGCGTCCAAACCGACGCTAGCAGGCTAGGTTATGTTATGTACCTAGGTAGGCTAGGCTAAGCTTGCTCATGCAGAATGAAAGGAGGGCCAACCTAGTGTACTGCGGTACGTACCTAAGCCACTTTTTTTTTTTCTTGTCTCCTCCTTCTTTAGTTTCCCTCTCCTCTCTTCTCCCCCCTTCCAGGTACGTATCTAGGTACCCACGCCCTGGCCCGAGACGGTCCCATGTGGGTAGCTCCCCACCTCTACCCACAAAGATCCTCAAGTTAGGAGATCCATGTGGGGCGCTAACGGAGCTATGGATCTGGCTGCCATGCAGTTATGCTTGCGTCACATGTTGCTTTAGGAGGGTTTCCATGCACGGTTGGATTTTTAAGTGGGTTTTCTCTCTGTCTTTTTCTTTCCTTCTTTATGCAAGCAAGTTCGGGTCGGCTGGGATAGTAATAGCCAATTAATTTTATGAAGAAAGGGAAAAAAAAAATTGTTAAATGGAACTAATGGAACTAACCGTTTGGAGATAATCAACTCCGACCGCAGGTAATGCCAGTCACATATTTTCCCTTTCCTTTAGGTATTTCTGTTCTCTTTTTATTCCCCACCCTCCTCCAACAACTACAGTGTACATACGTACCCGATATCCGTCCATACAAATTGGAACAACCTCCTCCTTTCTCGTCGTCACGAGAAACTATCGTGGACGATCCGGCTAAGAGTCTATTACTAGTACATACGTAACCTACATACACTACCACAACCACAACATGAACAATGTCCGACTAAGTAATCAGCCCCCTTTGGCGTTTTGCTGATTAATTACTTTTCCGACGGGCTTCTTTTCTTGAATGCGGCAGATCTATCTTACGGTCCAACAACGCTAAGAAAGAAAGACAAAAGGTCGACAGGTCAAGCCGTTTCGCTTCTTCGAAAACTTTAGTAGGTAACATTTGGCGAACATGTGTTGTTGTCTTTGTCCATAACTACATGTTTCAAGCCTCTTTGCCTATAATACCGCCTCTATACATACCTACGTACATAAGTTAAGAGGTCAATACCTATGATGATACTGATGCTCTTGCTATTCTATCAAGCTCAAATTATGGCTTCATTTATGCGGTGGTATGCCTTTGGTTAGGTACCTATAGTAGTGAGTCACGCCGGCCAGCATAGGTAGAATTGAGTAGGTTACCTTTATCGATAAAGCACGTAAGTACCTAGGTAGTAACTAACTAGTACGTATTCCGTAATCGGAACCCCGCCGTACCCCTCCATCGCAATAAATCTTTACTATCAAAGCTTGGCTTCAAGCTTTCTGTGTTGAATACCTACTATCAGCTGCTGGATTCAACGACGACATACCAACAAAAAGTTGAGCCATTGATCAGTAAATACCTACAAGATGTCGTCCCAGTAAGATACTCAAAACACTCCATTGCATAGTTCTATCTTCTCATGGATTCTATAGGAAGGTATTGATGCTCGGAGCGGGTTTCGTAACCCTCCCTACGCTCCACATCCTGAGTGACGCTGGCATTGCAGTAACCGTTGGTATGACAAACACATTCCTCTTGGAGGCTCTATACACCCAATTGACCCTCTGAAAAGCTTGCAGAACTCTCGCCTCCGCTCAGTCTCTTGCCAAGGGAGTTAAGCACGCTACCCCTATCTCCCTCGACGTGAACGACGACCAGGCACTCGACGCCGAGGTTGGCAAGCATGATTTAGTTATCAGCTTGATCCCCTATACCTTCCACGCTACCGTTATCAAGTCGGCCATTCGCCAAAAGAAGCATGTCGTCACCACAAGCTACGTCTCTCCGGCCATGATGGAATTGGACCAGCAAGCCAAGGACGCTGGCATCACCGTCATGAACGAGATCGGCTTAGGTACTTATATATCCCTTTCCCGAAGCTTGAACCCCACCGTGTTTACTTTAGGTTAACTAACTATTATACAGACCCCGGTATTGACCACTTATGTAGGAGCCACCATATCAGTATAATTTAAACTGCGTATGGGAATGCTAATTGTTCTAGACGCCGTTAAGACGATCGAGGAGGTGCACAAGGCTGGAGGCAAGATCTTAACCTTCTTGTCCTACTGCGGTGGTTTACCGGCCCCCGAAAACTCGGACAACCCTCTGGGCTACAAGTTCAGCTGGTCCTCTCGTGGAGTTCTCCTGGCTCTGCGAAATGCGGCCAAGTACTGGAAAGATGGCAAGGTAGTAGATGTTGCGTCAAAGGACCTGATGGCTACTGCTAAGCCGTACTTCATCTACCCCGGTTACGCTTTTGTCGCCTACCCGAACCGCGACTCAACTCCCTACAAGGAGCGGTACAATATTCCTGAGGCGCAAACCATCATCCGAGGTACTCTCAGATACCAGGGCTTCCCCGAATTCATCCGAGTGCTAGTTGAGATTGGATTCCTGGATGACACCGAGCAGGACTTCCTGAAGCAACCTATCTCCTGGAAAGAGGCTACGCAAAAGATCCTGGGCGCTTCCGCAAGCAGCCAAGGGGACCTCGAATCTACCATCGCGTCTAAGGCCACGTTCGACTCACCCGAGGAGAAGACACGAATCCTTAGCGGCTTACGATGGGTCGGCATCTTCTCAGACGAGAAGATCACGCCTCGGGGCAACCCGCTAGATACTCTGTGCGCGACGCTGGAGAAGAAGATGCAATACGAGGAGGGAGAGCGGGACTTCGTGATGCTGCAGCACAAGTTCGAGATCGAGAACAAGGACGGCAGCCGGGAAATTCGGACGTCGACCCTGTGCGAGTACGGCGACCCCAAGGGCTACTCGGCCATGGCCAAGCTGGTCGGCGTGCCGTGCGGTGTGGCGGTCAAGCAGGTGCTCGACGGCACGATCTCGGAGCGAGGCATCCTAGCGCCGATGAACTCCAAGATTAACGACCCCCTGATGAAGGAGCTAAAGGAGAAGTACGGCATCTTCCTCAAGGAGAAGACTATACTGTAAAAGAAGATCTCGGCTACGTCGGCTGGTGTTTTTTTTTTCTAGCTGCCTGGCAAATGCTAAAGTGGCAGTGCGGTACACTACAAAAAAGGGGGCCACGTGCTTCTAGTTACTAACCAGTAGTTGGTGTCTTTTTTTCAGCTAACAAAAAAAAAGGTAGACAAAAATCAAAAGGGGCGGGCTAGGTTGTATGTAACTAGGAGAACTCCAGCTAAGATATCCCATAAAATCGATGGAATTTGATACTACCTAAGGTAACTAAGTTGCCTTGCACGAATCGTTAATTTAATTTTTTTTCAGCTGCCATATACCCTGTCCGGTCTATTCAACATTTTGCATAGTAAAGCGTTAAATAGTAGTACCTAGTGGTAGCTTAGGTTAGGTACGCACACTAGCGACGGAGAATTGCTTGGATATAGCATGTATTGAAGTAAGTTAGATAGAGATGCTAACCTGTAGTGTATCCGCGTGCGTATTCTTATTAGTCTTAGCTACCTGTTACCGACCTAAGTTTTTGGAATTCTTCAGAAGGAAAGAAGCAACAAACCCAAACGACGGTATTTACCGGGGTTTAGCGAAGCGGGGCATTTTTTTTTTTTTTTTTTTTTTTTTTTCCATAGCTTTCTGGATAGCGAAATCTTCAATTTTATTGATGAATCTCATCCAATGAACTTGGACTTTCAAGGTCTAACTGTTTAACTAGGTAATACCTAACCCAGTACTGAAACCAGCTATCTACCATGTAACTTTACATAGCACATCAATCTACGTTGTACTTACGACTTGTTATTCTGCACGGTTTAAACTTTCAAAACCACCCAGGTACCTAGGCAGTTTTACCTAGGTTAGAGGTAGGTATTCGAAGAAGATCGTCCCAGGTTTTAAATTACCAAGCCCAAGCAAGTCTCGTCTTGATTCGTCACCGCCGGCACTTTGCTGCTGTTTCTGCTGGAGTCGAAGCTTGAGCCAGAGCTGAGGCTGGAGCTGGGATCATGGTGCAGTATATCTACACGCCGTGGCGGGACCGCAGCGAGCTATTACGCGTTCGTCGGCAATTCTACGGCAGCAGCGGCGGCGGCAGCAGCACAGCCGCAACGGATCTCTATGACAAAGAAGAAGACGATGTGAAAGCGGAAAGGGAGAGGGAAGAGGAGGATGAGGATGAGGACGAGAAGGCGAAGCAGCACGCCGTGTCGCGTGTCTCCATGTGGATGCAGCGCGGCGGATGCCCGCACCTGGTCGAGTCCACGGCGCTGCTCGTCGCCGCCGTCCTGGGCGACGCCCGCGAGGCCAGGGCCAGGGCCGCGGCGTCGTCGTACGCTGTGCGCGCCGCGTATGCGGCCGCTTTTAGTCGGTACGTTGTTCTTAATTTTTTTTTTTTAATATATACCTATACACATATACACATATATGTATAATGTCCTCTTCGTTTATTGCATCTGGTATGTTCGGAGTATCCGGAGAGGGGGATAGAGAGAGAGAGAGAGTGGAAGTCTAGAACTTGTTGGTCGGCCCACGTGCCATTTCCGGCCGGTTTTTTAGGGTGCCGCTTGTTTTGCGCCCTAAGCCCGTTTAGAAAAGGGTGCTAGGCGGACGGGGGTGGGGAGGAGGGAGGGGGTGTACGATACCATTATGTGTCTATCTGTTTGTCTTGTTTGTTTACTTGTTTAGTTGCTTGCTTGCTTACTTTCTTGTTATTGTTGACTCATTGCTGGCGGAGCAAGATGGTATTGTGTTGTATTGTACACCGGCTAACGGGCGGTTGATATGTAGCTTCGTGACGGGCCTCCTGGACAGCCAGCAGGACAAGCAGCGCAAGATGAGCATGTACTCGATCGCCAAGACGATCGGGCTGCCGGCGACCTTCGTCGAGCTGCGCCACCAGGCTACCCACGAGCAACTGCCTTCTCTGTCGAAGCTCCGGACCGCGGCCAAGAAGGCGCTGGCTTGGATCTGGGACTACTACTGGAAGAACCTGCCGGACGAGGATGGCGGTAGTGGTGGTGGTGGTAGCCGTGGTAGTAGTAGCGCTAACCAAGATAAGTCGAACGCTTGCCGGAGTCTGTTGCTGAAGTACTTGGGGGAAGGGGAGGACGGTGACTCGGCGGCGCAGACTAAGAAGCAGTTGAGGCGGTGGGACGACACGGTCTTACTGCGGAACCTAGCGGAGATCGGGGATGCTTCCGAGGACCCGAAGATCATCGCCCGGTGCCTGCGGCTATCGCAAGACATTCTCGACGGGGACTTTTCGTCTTCGCCGTCGGTTCCAAAGAGAGCCGCCGCGGGAAACATGTCTGCGACGACGACGGCGGCGGCGAAGAGGAAGTTGGATGATGTCAAGGCTGACATGCGGGCTTTGGATGAGGAGCTCGAGGCTGCGGGGAGTGTAGAAGGCACGTCCCATAAGGACGTCGAAATACCGACGCAGAAGAAACAGTCGAGTCAGGTAAGGGAGTGGTGGAGGTACGAAGGGCCGTGGAAACCGAAGCCGATTGGGGTTGTGTAGATAAAATATCTCAATCTAAGCTACTTGATGATTATCTACCTAGGTATTCATGGCATTGCTGGGTTATGTTATGTGTACCTAATGTAAATTGCTCTGTAGAGAATTCTCAACACCATAGATATACGTTATACGTATTACAAGGGGGTTTAGCAGTCTTGCCAGCTGGCCCTTTCCCGTCGATAGCTTGTTGCCGGGCCGTTCGGTAATTTCTACGTCATGAATATTTCACAAATGCGTTTGTAAGCAAATAGAAGTCATTCGCCGAATCACCAATCCGTCATCGTCAAAACCCTATCCGCCTCATGAATTACATCGCGAGAGCAAGACCTCTACTAGCTACCCGGAGAATAGGCATTTCAACCGCATCTGTAAGTTTGCTCATCTTTTTTTTTAACCAGACGTCGTTGTCACTTGGTTGTTGTCCATCAAGGAACTCGCCTGCTGACTTCCGAGCTGTAGCTCGCCTTCGCCCGCAAAATGCATATCCAATCAATTCCTATGTGTAAGTAATACCGAGTGTTCACAAGGGGGTGGGATGGGGGAAATAGGGGGGCTGGGGGCTTTAAGACTAATAAGATATGATATTCGCAGGGACGGGGACGAGCGATAATTACGCATATCTCCTCGTCGACGACAAATCCAAGGAGGCTGTCATTATCGACCCCGCGCATCCCGAAGAGTGAGTTCGGAGCTCTGTGATTGATTACCCACGCTTCATCTTGCAAACATGCGATTTGTCTAACTTGGGTAAAAATTCAGAGTTACCCCTGTCTTGAAAAAGGCAATCAAAGAGGGCAAGATCAATCTCACAGCTATCGTTAATACACATCAGTCAGTTTTCCTCTTCCCTTTTTTCCCTATCATTTCTAGTTCCCTTCGTGCTAACGGTGCGGGTAGCCATTGGGACCACGCGGGTGGAAACGATCAGCTCGTTAGTTTACGCCATCTTCTCTCGTATACACGTATTACATAGGTACTTCCTATGGTATTGGGTATTCTGACCCAATCATGTTTATAGAGGAACGACCTAGGCGATCCAAACCTTCCCATCATTGGAGGCAAGGACTGCCAAAGCGTCACACAGACCCCCGAACATGGCAAGGGATTCAAGCTTGGGAACATTGACGTGAAGGGCCTCCATACGCCGTGCCACACGCAGGACAGCATCTGCTGGTACGTGAAGGATGGCGACGACAAGGCTGTGTTCACCGGAGATACCCTGTTTCACGGCGGTGCGTAAACGCGCAGTACCTCGCGAGTCCAGGGTCGGACATGGACAGACCTAAAACTAACATGGTCTAGGTTGCGGAAAGTTCTTCGAAGGTACCGCGGCGGAGATGCATACGGCTTTGAATAAGACGTTGGCTTCACTCCCGGATGATACCAGGGTCTATGTAAGAGCTCATCGGACTAGCGATGGAGGGATTTTGTTGGGATTTCCTCATTTCCACCTATACTAACACTAGATAGCCCGGCCACGAGTACACCAAGTCCAACGCCAAATTCGCCCTTTCGGTGCTGCCGAGCGAGGCTGTTAAGAAACTAGACGCGTTTGCGGAAAACAACAAGGAAACGCAAGGGAAGTTTACCATTGGAGACGAGAAGGTAAGATATACATATACATACCATATTATCCTAACTGTAATGGGAAGAGCTGGAGCTAATGGATATAACGTAGTTGCACAATGTGTTTATGCGTGTAGAGGTAAGCGACGAAGACTTAAGAGCGATGAGACGATGATAAGTCCTAATACTCTTTAAAGGATCCCATAGTCCAGATAGCTACCGGCAAGACGGACCCGGTGGAGGTAATGGATCAGCTGCGGACTATGAAGAATAACTTCAAGTGAGTAAGTAATATAAGCCCCGTTAGGTTGAGTGGTGACTACCTAGGTACCCAAGAGATCTTTCAGGATGCTGACGAACTTAGACCACCACCCGATAGTAAGGTCTAAAAGTGTATTGTGTGCCCTTTTCACTGCAGAAATTTGTATCTAGATAGTGGAAGCTGGGTAAGATCACGGCAGTATGTGAGGTACCTTAATAAACACTCACTTCATCATTAATAAACCTGACAAGTGAACATGATCTTAGTTTGCTTCTTGATAGTATATATATGATCATTATTATAATATATTTACTTCTCCCCAACGAAACTAATCTAAGCATACCTAAGTTAACAGAAGTAATAAAAGAAAAAGGGGAATTTCTCCAGCAAGCACTAAGCCTCAGCCCATCTTCCACGAGCTGGATGCCAATATAAGCGACTTGCGGAACGCCGGCCTATAAGAATAGAGCCGACGCGTAGGTTTTTCATCTTGCTTCACTGTCCACACTTGCTCGCTGTTTGTACAATCGAGACGGCAAGCTCTAGCATATTTTGAAGCTGGAATTTTACATTACAGGTTTCCCCCCTCGATCGACTCGTGTTGATCGACTCTCATGTCCTTGTCCTTGCCCTTGAAACATCGTCTTGTGTTGTGTTCTGTGCGTGACCAGTCCCATTCCATTCCCGCTTGGCGTCTCGCGATCAGCTAGCTAGCTGGCTGGCTGGCTGGCTTACTTACCGTGGCTGACGCTCGAATACAACATGTGCTTGCTGACGCAGATCGTTATTGGCAGCAGGTATTCGAGCTCTTATCACATCGTAGTATGGTATGTGTGATACTGTTCGATGACAATGATACTGGGCTGATCTGATATTGCGTTTGGTTTAGACGGGATTCACAGGTGGTTGCGGTGGTGGGAAATGGAAAGTAGAAGAGAAGAAAGCGCAGAAAATTTTCGGCAATTTAAGTAACTTACCTAGATAAGGTAACCTGTACTTACCTAATAAACCTAAGGAACATAAGTGGATTTGTCTGCCGGCTGCTAGCGGCTGTCTTGCCTTACAGTATATATACTGTATTTAGCACTGTCTAGCAGCTACCCCTATTCAAACAGTTATGGGGATATGTACCTCTGTTCTGTATAATTGACGTATAGGGGTAGGTATGTTCATTGATTCGAGACCTAGGCCTTTTAGACTTTACCTACTACTGGTATTCAATAGCCAGAAACTTGAAAGATCTTTCTATTCTCATGCTAGATTTCAACATGATGTGGTCTCTTCCACCTAAGAAGCGACTAACAAGTATAAGACGAAGGGATTATATATAGGTTAGGTACCTAAGGTAATCTATTTATATATATATATATATATCTTAAATACCTTTACTACCTAGGTACTATACACAACTCCAAATCAATCATTCCTTGCTATAATCCTGACCCTACCTACACATCTATCCGTCCACGCTCCTCGCCGCGCTATCCATCTCCTATCGCCGCTTGCGGGAAGAAGCACATCAATAACAACACGACTCTCATTCGCTGCGCTGCGGTACTTTCGGAACAAGCCACCAGCTGATCCCCGCGGCGACGAAGAGCGCCAGCACGAAGGGCTGCAGCACGGCGACGCCGGCGTTCGTCGCTATTAATCCCGTGATGGAGGGGAACAGAGCACCTCCTGCTTGCGCGAGGACGAAGATGAAGCCTAGGTTAGGTAGTAATGAACCGGTTAGTTAAGGTAGTCTTCGGGGCATTCGAGATACGATTTACTACCGGGAATACTATAGGAAGGAGGGGGGGGGGGTTACCTAGAGCAGCGGTTTGGGCCTCCCGGGGGAAGAGTTTCGAAGCAACTGACATGCCCTATATGAAATAAATCAACTAACTAGCAAATGGTCCTGTATGAGGTAGTAACATAATAAATAACTTTACAACACAATCACTCATCTAGGAGGATAAGTCAAGTCCAGTCCAGTTTTAAGTCAAAGCATCCTCGACAACAACAACGACAACAACAACACTAGGTTGGATAGGCAGGCAGGTAAGTAATCCAACTAACCGTAGCGAAAAACGGCCCGGTGAAAAAGCCGATGAAGCCGAGCGCGACGGCGCTGCCGACGACGTTCGGCAGCAGCCAGAAGACGAGCTGGAGGGCGGCGCACAGCGCGGCGTAGGCGAGCAGCGCGCGCCGCTCGCCGCACCGGAACGTCGGCTCGGCCAGCAGCAGCCGGCCCGCGAGCACGCCGCCGTAGAACCCCGTCGGCACGTACCCGGCGCTGCGCAGGTCCCCGCCCCGCACCGTCGTCAGGAACTCCACCACCCACCCGCTCGCCGTGCCGCTCGCCCCCAGCGCGAAGAAGTAGAACAGGCTGAGCAGCCAGAGCGCGCGGGACCGCAGGAGGCGCGCCGTGTCGAGCATGGCCGCTCGGTTGCGCGGTTGCGCGGTGCCGGTAGCGTTGGCGTTGGCGTTGAGTCGGCTCCAGAGCGAGTCCCGGAACGCGACGGCCACCCCGCCCACGTTCACCACGCAGATCCCGATCAGGACGAGGTACACGCGCTTCCACCCGTCGATGGCCATCGCGTTGGGGCTCGTGGCGATGGCGGTCGCGATCAGCGGGCCGATGAGGCAGCCCAGGGCGTAGCATCTAACGGCACGGAATGGATATTAGCATTTTTAATAAGTTTGCTCCCTCTCTTCCCCCTATTTATCCTAGCTAAGGTATCTATCTACCTACCTAGGTAGATAGCTTGATATCCCAAGTCTACCAAACCTACGGAGCAGCTTTTTTTCGGGAAAAATTCCCCGTAAAAGGTGGTTTACCAAGTTAGGCGAAAGGAGAAGAAGGAAAAGAAGAAGAGGGGAGGGGAGGGGAGAAGAAGAAGACGTTCACGTACGCGTGAATAAAGCTAAGCCAGCGATGTGGCACGTTCCTGAGCCCGCTGACGAAGGTGTTCGAGTGCGAGTCCTGGTAGGCCATGCCGAGCGCCTGGAGGAAGAAGGCGATGCAGAAAAGGGGCAGCGGGCTCCACGGCCGCAGGCAGTGCGCCAGCAGTTGCAGCGCCGCGCCGACGGCGAGCAGCTGCCCGAGCGTCATGTGCGCCGTCATGACGGGGTTCGTGACGGCCGCGAGGAGCCATCCCGCGAAGGTCGTGCCGTAACTAGATGTCGGTTGGTTGGTTGGTTTAGCACTTCTCTCTAGAAAGTACCTGAAATATCTTATGCATAAGAGGTAGAGACTATAAAAATATCAATCCCAAAGGGAGGAAGGGAAGAAGGGAGGGTAAGTAAGTAGGTAGGTAAGTAAAGGTAGAGTTCCCCGCTTACATGATAGCGATCTCGCCCGTCCCGACGCGGAAGCTAGAAATAATATACGGGATCAGGGGGCCGAGCGTGCCGTCGTTCACGCCCGCGCAGAAGAACGAGTACCCGGCGACGATCAGCTTGGCGAATGGCGTCTCGGGCTCGCTCCTAACGACGCCCGCCTCCTCGGCCGGCGAATCTCCTCCTTCTGCCCTCACGGGTGTCGAAGCTTCCGCGTCTTTGGCGGCCGGAGCACGCCGGAGCTCCGTCATCGGATACCCCGAGGAAGCCGCCGAAGCCTCGGTGGCTTCGACGAACGAGGTCTGCGTCGTCGACATTTTGTTTTATTATATATCAAAGCGTTCCCTTCGATTCTGACCGATACCTGAACTTTGGGGAAGAAAGAAGGAATGCCACAAATAAGTTTAAAGCTACTAGGTAGGTATCAACCTTAGCAGCAGTAGGCTAGGTACTCATCCGATTCCGTGTTTTTATATTCATTCCCAACCCTCCAACCTTTTCTAAACCCCTGAACTTCCTTCCCCCCTCGGTTGAAGGTCGGGAGAACTTCGAATAAAACGAACGAACGAATTGGATGTGATCCCGCCCAACTCCCCTTCCCTCCTTTTGAGCCCACCACCCCCGGGCGGACCGCTTTGCCGGATTGTCCCAGTTTCCTGATTGGACAGTTGGGTGTTGTTTCCCCACGGGGTACCAAAAGCTACAGTTCCGTTACATAAAGTTACGTTGTTAAGATGTCTTTGTTATGAATATGAAAGGCAGGGAATAGATACTACGGCCGCTGCTTACTGATGAATACCTCTTTAGGTACTTGGCTAAGTTGAGGTATTATACAGATACCTAACTCCAAACTAGGTATTCGACGAAACGTACTAAAATATAGTATTTTATCAGGATATCAGAGGGGCTTAAAACGATCCAGGGTTTAATAGGCTTTATATTGAATTCCTTTCCAGAGAACTGACATGAATTAAACGCTAAACCAATCCTCTAGGTCACATGGTCGTAGAGTATAGATAGAAATCTGGTTGCTTTACGGTACATAACATAGTTAAGCTGGTCTGCTCTCTACTACTATCATCTTGTTGACGGCTGTACGTGGCGCTGGGGCGGTAGTCCGGGGGACGCCGGCGATGCTGGCGCGCCTCGCAGATTGATAGACCCGATCCTCGACACAATATTGTTCCCGACGGCATCTACCGCTCCTCGGGGAGATGTTAAGGTCGGTCCCTGAGCGGCCGTCTCCTGCACTTTGAACAACTTGATTGCCGTTCCGTTCCACACGCCAACGGTGCCCTTCGATACCTGCATCTCGCTTGCGAAAACGAAGCTCCAGATCAGCGATTCATACCAACCCAGAGCAAGGGGCGACCATTCAAATGAATGAACCCTGACCGGGGAAGGCTCTATACCGACTAAGTCCGCCTCTTGAATGGCCTTCAGGGTTGCGGACGACGGTACCTCTGCCGTGAGTCCTTGTCGGTTAATTAATACCGTCAGCTGTTGGATGACGGTTAGTATCGTATGGAGAGGAAGTTCGGGTAGCCAACTCTCAATCCATTCCGCCGAAGGTTCGAAAACACCAGGCGCGGATTGGCCGGCTCCCGAATAGCTGCCGAGACTGGTCACGCTATTCTGCCGGGAGAATGTTGGTACCCCAGCGGGCATTTTGCCCCTAGCTTTCTCTGACATGCCCCTTAATTGCGTTGGTACTGCATCTTCCACGTCAGCGACGGATGAGGCTCGAGAAGGATTCTCGCTCGGGCTGGATTGTGCTGGCGTTGGGCGGCTATCGTCTTCTTCATCACTATCGTCCTCGGCGTCACCGATAGCAAACGTCGCATCTTCCTCGGGTACATTGCTTAGCGTTGGCGTTCTCGGTTGCGTCGTAACAGGGCTGCGTAAACTGTCGACGGAGCTTCGTCGGGAACTTGCATCTAATGGGTCCAGGGACTGTCCGGCTTCTTTTCTTCTACGGTTCCTTCGCTCGAGTTCCTCTTGGCCATTCTCGAGCGTGAAACTTCGTAACGCCTCAAAGCGTTTCCTGTTCTTTAGTATTAGGTAGATAAAGTGAGGATTCTCTGTATTTTACGTTAGAAAGTTCTAGTATTAAAAGTCGACGAGTTACTGACTCTTGTATTGATGCTCAATTAAAGCATTTATAGACTCTAGGAGGGACGCCAGGAGATTATGATTGCTGTCATTGGCAAGAAGAAATGAGGGAGAAGACATCGAGGAGAATAGCTGCAGTAGTTTTGAACCTGTCGTGCCGTTGATGCCTTCCAGGTAAGCAGATATATTGTTAATCACAGCAAGTAGCGCCGGGTATATAGCAGAAAGCTTGCCCTGGCTTCTTGTTATAAGGTTGTATATCGACTTCATGCAAGTTAGCTGAGAACACTCTTAGAAATATGCGACGTGCTTACTTGTATCAAGTAGTCGGCATATGTGCCTTTGAACCCGGGGATTCGAATGACAACTGGTAATGTTTCCTGTCCTTCGAAGTTCTTGTTAAGATTGACGCCAAAGTTTTTCTCAACACTCAACGTCTGTAGCAAGAACGCGCACATTCGGACCACACCTTGCTTTGAGGCATCGGCCTTATATTCGGTGGCGTAGAAAAGAAGGAGAATGACAAAGTCATGGGCTCTTTGCGTATCGATCATAAAAGATCTAAATCGTTTGTTGCATTGGGTGATCTCCCAGAAGAGCATTATTATCTCGGGAGAAAATCTAGTCGCGGTCTGGGCTCCGGGAATATACGAGATATTGGCCTGGATAGGTTGATTGAGTATCCGCGTCATACCATCAACAATGAATTGGAAATCTTGAGGACGATGTAGTCTTCCGAGGAAATGACGGTAGTAATTCTTAGGCGCAGAGCCGGTGATGGGCTCGGGTATTGGATAAAGAAGGATGACAAGCAGGAATTGTAGGGTATAGGCGATGAGGATCTCCTTGGGATCCTTGAACATGAGGGTGTTATAAGGTACACGCCAACTTGCCGGGTTGTATTTTAGAGTCTAAGGGAATCAGCACCTGAAGAATATCTTATTTTGGATGAACCTTACAGTGTTCAGCAAAGAGCACAAGACCGATAAGACGATTTGTTTATCCGGGCATGTACAGATATATGTCAAGGACTTGGCACCTCTAGTTGGTAGTATATTGGGCGATATGTACATGCTCTGGCCTGCTAGGGTTAGGAGGAGGCGTAGAATCTCGCATCGGTTACTTTCGTACTCCTTTGTCGTAGGCACGGCGGTGTTGCAGCCCACGCCGCTCTGCCAAATGGCATAGGTGACTTTTGGTTTGCCATGGGGCTGCTTCGGAACGGTTAGGTCGGAGAAGAAAAGGAGGTCGATTAGAGTGTCGATAAGCTCCTCTGCTAGGGGCTTCGCGTCCTCGAACTCGTCAGAGGGTGGTTTCGCTTCTTCCTGCGCTTCATCGAAAATGACTTCGTTCGCGATAGTAGCTCGTCTCGTTCGTTTCCGCCTAGTACCCCAGAAGAACTTATCTTCCCAGCCTTGCAGGTGGTCTACTTCATACAGGTAGGGCAGGACACGGGTGAGGATGCGGATGCAGTTCAGGGCATCGCGCTCGGGTGCGAATTCGGGATCGGGGAAGGAAGGATGATGTCGCAATATAAAAAGGCGAGAGGTTACGGCAAGTATGAGGGTTTCTAGATTCTCAATCGCTCTATCGCGAGTCCGACGAATGTCTGCAGGCGCAAAAAGACTAAAGATGTCCTCTGAGGATTCGGGTAGCTCCCAGAACTGCGAAGGGTTAGAAGGTAAAGAAACTAAAGTAGTGGTAGTAAGAGTAGTAAAAGTAGAAATATACTAACAGAGGTCCAATAAGGGTCATCAGCAGGTATATGTCGCTCTTCTGATAGTCTGAAGATGCCCTTCTTGAAGACTAGCTTGGAATCGCTGGCGCCCATTGCGATGAAGTCATACCATGTCTACATCGAGCGACGTGATTGAGAATTGGAGAATATGATTTTATGATTTTTGTAACCCAACTCTACTTTCTGGAAAAAGGGGGAAGCCGAGGTTGTGAGAGATCTGCTGTTTCGCGGTATTACAAGTTTAGTGGCGGTGGTCTAAAGTCTAGAATCTCTTCGTGGATTAAAGTTGCAAGGTTGCGGCTTTGCAGCTTGCGATTTAAGCATCCAATGTTCTGTCAATATTTGGAATTTAGGTACGGGGTACCTAGAGGCTAGCTGGGGAGAGGTACCTATCCACGTAATCCTCAAATGAATACCTAGAACCTTACCTGATTGACGTGCCGATAAGGTTCCAACTGCCAACTCTCACCTTATCTTAGGTAGGTACCTAGGTACATTTAAGTAGCTCAGACTCTCACTCCAGAGGCCCGTTATCTGATCTACAGTTTACCTACCTAAGGTAGGTTACCTATGTACATAGCTCTTGATTTGAACATTTATTAATTCCAACTTGTCCGACAAGCTGAAGTGGATGGAATAACATACGTGAAGAAGTTTGATTTACATTTTTATTCTAGTTATTTTTCTTCGCCATGGGCTCTCTAATCCATATACACACCCACATAACCAATAAATACCAGAATGTATGGCCCAAAAGTCCCATCCATCCATCATTCTCATTCACAAGGTATCATCAACAATAAACACACCAAAAATAACATAATAAAAAAGGTATATATACAGGCCGTCCGGCTACCAATTCATTCTTCCGACCCCTCTAAATAATTACCGTAACAAAGTCAACATCAACTCATGTTCCTGAATTGTCATTCCCCTTAGTTATTTGGCTATTCTACAGCCGTATCATCACTGGCCTCTCTGCGTGGGTGTCCTCGTTCGTCAGCTGGTGGTGCGAGATGCGTTGGATTTAACACTTTGGGAGTTGGGGAAGGGGTTTTCCCAGACTTGTTCTCGTTGCTTCCTACAGCTGTCTCATCACTAACTTCTCTGTGTGGATGGCTGCGCTCCCCGCCCCCTGGCGGTGCCAGAAGTGCTAGAGCGGGTTGCGCCGGCGGAGACGCTGGCTGCTCACCAGCAGCATCCTGGTGAATTGCCACCTGTTCTACAGGAGCCGCTGCAGGCCGTAACCGGGAATCCGACCGCAAAATTGAAGCTGCTACCCCTCTTACGCCCGTAGCGATGATCTCGGGTCGATCCCAAGCTATAAGTCCTGGTCTTCCTGATGCACGGTTGACATGGACCACATTGTATTTTGCATTGGCCCAGCTAGGACACATATAAAAATCCTTTGCCTCGTCTTGCATCAACTCCGTAGCCTCGTCCTCAGCGCCCCCGTTCGTATCAGGCTCATCGCCTAGAAATACTGTGACGCCGATTTTCGGTCGTGAATTAACTTTCTTTTCCACTTCCGGGTACCGAGCACAATGAGCCCAGAACCTCATCGCTGACTCCGGACCAGGGAGCCAAGAGAGCTGGGTGAGATCAATTACCTCTGTAGGGGTGAACTCCTTCTTAGGATCAAGCAAGCGAAGTATCTTCAATACGAAGACTAACAAACCCGTTGGGGAGTCGCACAACGCATATGCTAAGGTATTTGGCTCTCGAAGTCCTAACTGATTCAATCCAAATCGAGGCAGAGCAGGCCCTCTCTTTGGCAAACGAGCAAAGCCGTTTCGTTTAAGAGCCGAGAAATCTTCTTTGTGATAACCAAGAATTGGAGCATGAAACAAACTTGCAACGGACCATTTTGCCCATTCGACCGGTGCTCCCCGTAGCTTCGGCCGCGCTAGAGGTGGTGATATTAAGTGAGCACCCAGACAAGAATCGGTGAAATAAGTTGCCAGATGGTTGGCAAGCTTAAAGTCGATTTCCGCCGGCGAAGCGACTCCAGAACTCGCATTTGTTATTAGATAGTGAGGATACGATAATCGGCTCATCAACAAGTTAAAGATTTCTGCTGTAGATGAGATTGCGGGGGTATTGTTCGGAAGCGCGTCGCTGAACCCCAGACCCGGTAGAGCCGGTATAACCAAGTGGAAGGGCTGATTATTCGCAGCATCTTCCGGTTCTGTGAATCGTTTGATGATGTGTCCAAAAGAAAGGTTTGAAATGGGGAAAGGTGGTATCAAAAGAAGGGGTATCGCATTTGAATGAGATGAACGAGCATGGATGAAGTGAATTCTAACGAGTGCTTCAGACGAAGGAATTGAAAACCCAGTACGAAATTGAGGTATCTCGGTATTCAACCGATCTTCTTGCGCTCTCCATGAGTACTGTTCCAACCTATCTGATTGTTAGTTCTGATGCTAATATACGATACAGATATCAGGGGATACAGAAGGCCTGTATAACTGCGTTCTTTCAAGGCGGGATAAAAGGATTGAATGAAGACTGACCAGAAATCAATGAGTGGTTCTACTTGAGACTTTGGCTCCCACCAGTCTTTCGATTTTGGTTCCGAGAGCTCATGAGGCAGTCGAGTCACTTCGAGCTTCTGCTTTGTGAGTTCCAGATATTTCGACGATACCTATGAGAAGAGCATATCAGCCACACTTTCCGATTTTGGATGAGGTATGTTCGATATGAGGTAAGGTTGAAAGTGGCTCACGTGGATTTTGTAGGGTTTAATTTCATCAGCACCGCCAGCGGCGCCAGCGGGGACAGCCTCGTCAACCTCAGCAGCAGCCATTTTTCAAGTAGGTATAAATTTCCATCCGATATATACGAATGTCACGTCTAAAGGCAACACAACGTCGACCGAGGTAATGAAGGAACGAAAAAAAGACGAATAACGAGAGACGCACGAACAAGTCACTGACTGAAAAGCAAAATTAGTATGCACTTCATATTGTCTTGACGCCGCCCCATCGCGTCCGAGAGATCTTATTTAATTATACTCCGTTTTAAGGGATCTAAGTGGCTTGACTCTATGTGGCTAAAACTTGTCGTAAGTACACCCGAAAACAGGGCAGAAGCAGCAGGGATGATACTAGCTACGGGCCAATTGAGATTGAAGTCGACCCCGAATTAAGACTTACAGGGGTACCGGAAAGTCTCGACTCCTTAAGAGGTGAAGTGGCGGTGCATACGTATACCCCTGGCAAAATAGAAGTGATTGTCCCATTGTGGTTGCATTAATGAATACCCTTTTCATCATGTTTTCTATACCTACACTACTACATACTACATAGTACTAACTCGAATGCTATTATCAGATGAGACAACACGTGAGGTACAATATACACACATACGGGATTACGAGAGTTGAACTCGTCGCAGGTGGTAAACTTGGTCCCCTTGTTATCGCGCAGTAGCCTTCAACCACGCATGGCACTAGCATCTGAGGCACCCCCATAGCTAATTTCGTAGGTCCTATTTAAGGCTCGGTAGAGCTCCAGATGGCGCGAACAGCGGTGCGACGGCTGAACGTAACAGTACCCAACCGGCCGAGTCAAACTGGGACGAACCTCCGATGGAGACCTCCCAGGGTGTACAATAAATATATCAAGCCTTCCAAGTTCCAAGTTCACCTAAAAAGCCCATCACTCGGATAGTAGTGCAAAAGCTGGTCTCTTTTTGAATTGAGCGGTGAATTAAACCATAGTCTCCTCCGAGACATTCATATAATACAAGGTACTCTCTACATGGCAGAAACTCTCCCGGCTTACTGCAGAGAGAGCCCGGGTCAACTGCATGAACTGCATAGTCGAACGAGAAATGGAATGGTAGAGTAAAGTTGGGCTCAAGCCTTGCTTTCTGTCTCGTTATCCTCGGTACCCGAATACCAATGCCAAAACCACCTGGCATAGAAAATAGTTTCCATAGTACCATATATGCTTATGATAATAATGACAACGATCTTGGTCCTTCGGGTCATGCCCAATCCTTCCAAACTGAAGCCCATAGGCGGAATTTCATCGGGCTGCTTGGAAGGGTCGTTTGTAGGTCGCTTTGCTGAAAGGCCAGAACTTGAAGTTGAGAACTTGGAAGTGGTAACTCGAGTTAATTGGTTCAAAAGATGCGAGCTGAGTGTGGGTCTGAGGTAAGGATACGCGATGCGACTTTTCATAGCACCCGCGCTACTGCGGACGGTGGTAGCGAAGCGACTAATAGTAAGCATTTTGGGATAATAGACTATAGTTGTGGTTGCAAAGAGATAAAGATTGAATGAGATATTCGAGTCTGATGAGCGCGAACTATAATTTTGAGGCAAAAAAAAGAAAAAAAAAAAAAGAAAAGAAGGATGAATGAATACTTATACTTGAGTCTTAAGAAACTCTTGACGACTGAATACCTAATGCCAGACCATGAAGCCCAATTAAACATCCTCAATACGGCGTATATGCGGTTACATGCTCGTATAAGTCAGTATACGGATTCGCTCAAATCAAACACATACAAGGTACCTACATACTCTTACAAATCCAAGCCGAACTTAACATTATTAGAGTCTACCTAAATATAAGTCATAGTGTTCATTATATGTGATTATTGTACGTATATTATAAGGTTCTTCCACTTAACAAACCTTGATTAGGTACCTACCTATGTTCAAGAGGAGTGGAATGTACCCAATGGTTAAGACGAGGGGGTGGGGAATTTGAACTACGGAAAAACCATGGAGTATGATATATAAGACCAAAAAACAAAACAAACCATCACAAGGCACTAATGGGGTAGTGGTAACCTCGGAGTTTCCCATCTTCTGAAGATACTTACTCTGGCCCCGTGTTCGATTCACGGTTAGTGCAATCTAACGATTGACGCCCATTAGAGACCAACTCTAACTTTTTGTCTTTTTTTATGGTGTCTCTTTTCTCTTCCGTTCTTATTCTCTCATATATTATAATTCTTGAATTTTTTACAAGAGTAATAATATAAATTGCATTTCACGTTTCTCGACTTATATTCATTCGTGAGTTTTACTTGCTTACCTAACTACCAGAAGGTTAGAAAAGAACAACTTCAACGGCCTACCTAACATAGTACGTATGACTTAGGAGGTACTACGTAAGTTACGGCCGGCCACTAGCCACTAGATCTATCCGCGGGGCAGACCCAAGAAGCTCAGGCCACAGAACCTCTCCCACCTATCTTTTAGCACTAAACGTTCCCATTGAGAGAGGGACCCAACTTAAACGTCACGATGTATTATTCCGCCAGCTTCTCTTTCCATTGAACCCCCCCCTCCGCTCTCTTTCTCTCTCCCTTTCCGCCCTTCCATATCTTACTTACTTACTCACTTACCTTAGATAGATACCTAACTTACTTTTCATCCCACTTGTCTCCCGCGATACACACACATACACATATACACACAACAATAAATAATAACCCCCCGCAAGAAAAAAAAACCATGAGCGTTGTTGCCAAGGGCGACAAGATCGAGAAGATCATCGCCCGCCTGCAGCAGCGGATCGCTGAGGGGCAGTTCTACGAGGCCCAGCAGCAGACGCGGGTGGTGGCCGCGCGGTACGCCAAGGCCCGCAGCTGGGACGACGCCATCAACATCATCTACAGCGTCGCGCAGTCGCTCCTCCGGGCCGGCCAGGGCGGCAGCGGCGGCGACCTCTGCGTCCTGCTCGTCGACACCTACAAGCAGGCCGAGCTCAAGCCCGACCCCGTGAACAAGGGCAGACTGCTCACCTGTCTGCGGCTGTTCGACAGCCAGGAACCTACGCGCAAGAAGTTCATTGGGGAAATCATAACGTGCGTTTGCTATCTGTGGCTTGATGATGTTGCTTTTTATCTTATTTTATATTATATTATTTTACTTTTATTTATTTTGAGTCCTGCGTTAAACGAACTTCTGTGTTCTGCTTTCTTTTCTTTTTTTTCTTTTTTTACTAACGAACGTTCGTCTCTATAGATGGTCCTCCAAATTCGGCGAGTACCCCGCGGGCGACCCCGAGCTCCACCACGTTGCTGGCTCCCTGTACGCAGAGGAGCGCGAGCCGTACGATGCGGAACGACATCTGATTCTCGGAACGAAGGACTCGGCCGAAGTCCTGGCCCGCTTGGAATACGAGTGGTTTAAGGAGGACGACGCGCACACGGCCGCCTTCTACGCAGCGCGGGGAGTTCTGCCTTACCTCCTCACGGGCAACGTCCGGTCGGCGAACACGTGCTACCGAATATTCACCAGCGCCCTGAACCAAGACAACCAAGGCCAGCTCAACGCGCAGGACATCAGCAGCAACAGCGCCGACGTCCGGATATATCCCAGCATACCCCTCCTTAATTTCCTCGGCCTCCTGTTGCTCGCCGTCCAGAGGGCCCACCCGGACCTATACAAACAGCTAAATAACAAGTACTCTACGCTCCTCGCCGAGGTCAGTTCATGGCGGGAGCCCCTGGAGATCATCGCCGAGATGTACTTCGGGATCCAGAAGCCGCGGCAGAGTAACCCCTTGATGGACATGATGAGCGGGTTCTTCGGCGGCAGTGGTAGTGGTGGGGGTGCTGCTGCGGCGGCGGGCGGGGGTGCGAAGAGGCCGGCCGTGAAGGCTCCTACGTCGATGCCGGCTGCCGAGGGATTAGATTAGATTTAAGATTTTAACATACTACTTAGGTAGTACTTAGACTACCACTACCTAAGGTAACCTTAGGTTGGTCGTTTTGGGTGGGAATCCGTATAGCGGTCTCATTAGGCATCGTAGCATACTATTTTCCACGACGAAAAGAGAATATCATTGCGGCCGCTGCTGCTCTTCTGGCTCGTACATCCAGTTGTCTTCGGCTAGTGCTGCTACTTTGGCTCTCATGCTGGCTCGGAGCGTCTCTAGGATTTCTTTTTTTTTTTCCCTTGCGTGTTAGCGTACCTAACTAAAGCCTCTTGGTGTTGTCTACTTGCTTATTGCTTGGGAGTTATTCGTATGGTCTTACCTTCGGGTTGCGCCGGCGTGCGATTGAGATTTACCTGGTAGTGTTTGACCGCTTCTGCCAATCTTTGTCTTTCGCCTGTAGATATGATATGTAATATTAGTATTTTGTCGTCGCATCCACCATATTATTACAACAACTTCCCAAGCCAACCTTCGTCAACTGCAGGGGCAGGGGCGGGGGCAGGGGCAGGATGTAGTGGTAGCGTGTGTGCGTGCGTGCGTGCGTGCTACTGTATATACGTACGCTCGTTCTCCTGGGCGTCGTCCAACGCGCCGGGGCCGGGGCCGCCGGCCTCCTCGGGGTCGTCGAGCGGAGGGGTAGGCGGGTCGCCGACGTCGAACTCGCCGTTCTTGTCGCGGACGACGATATCGGAGGTGTCGGACAGGACCTCGACGTCGCCGAGGCGCAGCGTCTCGGCCGAGTTGTTGGAGTTGGCGGACGACTGGGAGGAGGACGTCGTCGTCGCCATCGCCGCCGCCGCCGCCGCCGCCGTCGTTGTCGTTGTGGGCGTCGGGCGCCGCGTGAGCTGGTTCTGGAACAGGTTGCGCCGGATGCCCGCCGTGTTCGCGCGCGCGGTCCTGTTGGTGCCCGGGCGGGCGTGAGGAGGTGGGCGGTCGGGCATGCTTTTTTTTTTCTTCTTTTTTTTTCGATTGGGGACGAGGTATCTTTTGATTGCAATGTATTCTATTTTATTTTATTCTGTTTTACCGTAATTGCAGCAGTGTAAAAGAAGCAATATTAATGCTGATGGCAAGCAAGCGAAGCTAAGCGTTGTATTATTGCTGAAGAAATAATTGCTTTAGTTACCATGATGCTATCTTATCGTAGGTGCATAATGCATTTCGACGTTCGTATGTTGACATTTGATAGAAATAAATCGGAGCAGGGACCAGGTCTTGTTGCTAGTTGCATCCCTGTCTTAGCCTTTAGGTACCTTAGGTAGGTACATAACTTGCACTAGCTTCGGCGCTGTGGGGTAACCCTGTTATAAGCGGCATGGCAGCATGGGCCTTTGTTGCCGTTTGTTAGGTACTTTAACTTTGTCTTAAGCTCCGACGAATAAGGCAAGCAGCTCCCCTCTTACCTTGATACAGGTAGGTACCGACTAAGCCTGATAGGTACCGACCACCTAGGTATTGTACCTTCTATAGATACCTATACTTATAGGGAGGTATGATCAAAACCTTAACCCTCCGTTCCTTTAAACAGGCACGTAGCTATTGTCAACCCTCAGCTTTAAAAAACACTATTACCGAGAACTGGCTTGAAGCTGCGGTTAGCCTTGCCATGGCGAGTGCTTTCAATATTCATCCCATTGGCCGTTTCAACGGCGAAAGCGAAGCTGTAAAAAGACCCAAGGTAAGTTGTCTTACATATCCCATCATAGCTCTATTATCAGCTTTTGTATCCCGCAGTCATAAGTTTACATGACATGCATGAAGAAAGGCATTCTCAATAACCTTTTCCCCCGTGATAGGAAATAGCATGCTTTTCTTACGATGACAAACGCGAGTTTCACCTGGATGATCGATCCATGCAGTGGTATTATCCTCCCACGCTTGGGGCCGATCTATCTAAAGGGTTCGATCGATTTGATAAGCACGATGAGTCCAAGGACGAACATATCGATAGTCTGCTTAAGACCATCATGGCTCACGAAGAAGAGGAAGGAAAGAAGATCGATGCACACTTCGTCACTTGGCGTGGTATGATGACCAAGGTATATATTGACCTCAACTCACTATCAGAGAATTTACCGAATTAACTTTTATAGATCATGTCGGCGCCCTTCGATGATCGGGATGGGTATGTACCTCAGGCTTATAAGTGGTGTCTGCTATATCCAAATTCTAACAAAACATCTCTCTAGCTTTGAGATGAATGCTACTCTCTACCAAGTGCGCAATTCCAATACCCCCCACCCCTCATCCTATGAACTAAGCTGATTATATATATTGAAGGATTGCATGTATGGTTAAATGATTATCACTAGCGGCGTTTCCGCTAATTTGATAATAATAGCTTCATCGAAGAGAATTTCGCTTATGGGCAAGCCAAGCAACAAGAACAAAGACAACAACAACAGTCACGTCGAGGACAGAGGTTCTCGCCGGATGTCATGACGTATTGGGGTAAATGAAATAACACCTTTGAAACATTACATTAGCTGATCCGGTTCTAGGTTACAAGTTTGAGGCCTTGTCTTGTCTCCCTCGCCCCTGGGGAGAGGTCAGCAGAGAAACTATCGAGAATAGAGACGAGCTGGTTGTCAATAATAAGGCTCAATACTGCTCCGTGGTTCGTACTGGAATTGGGAAATCAATCTTGTGTCTGGGAGGTGAAGTTGATGCCAGTAAGTCTTCACTTTTGATACAGGGTTGCAACATTTTAGGCTTATGTCGAAAACCAAGTCTGGGACTTCAAGCCTGAAGAAAAGGGTGCGCCGATCAACTGGATCGAATTGAAAACCAGCGTCGAAATCCGCGATGATAGAGGCATGCAGAATTTCGAGCGGAAGCTCATGAAGTTCTGGATCCAGTCTTTTCTACTGGGTGTGCCAAAGATCATCGTAGGGTTCCGCTCGCAGAACGGCATCCTTACGAAACTCGAAGAAATTCAGACGGCCAAGATACCTGAAACAGCTACAAAGCGAGGCGTGAGAAGTTGGAACGCAAATGCGTGTATCAATTTTGCCAGCGCCTTCCTGGAGTGTAAGGTCGACTAAGATTCATTCACTGATCATATACGCTAATTAATGCGGCCACAGGGTTAAGAAATACTATCAACGATGAGGGCGTTTGGAGGATAAGAAGACAACCACATTCGGGGGTCATTGAGGTGTTCAAAGTTGAGGAAGTTGGTCACGGAAGAATTCTCACAGATGACTTCATCAACTGGCGCATAAAGCTAAGCCTTAATAGCAACGGTGGTGGTGGTAGTTCCTGAAGCGGTTTCATCTAGGTAATGAGGTCTACTCAAGCTAGATAGGGGTAGAATATGGATCTATGCCATCTATAGCGCCGGCTCGTTTATAGATACCCCAATCATGATTCTATGCAATTTTATAACCATCTATCGTATATATCCCGTCCCATGCAGACCCAATTTTGTATAAAAAAAATATCTACTTGTTTAGCTTCACGTGCATCTTGCGCCGCGTGGGATCAAAGTTGGTTCCGTGCTTGGGGTTTCCGTAAGCCCGTTCTCTGTGCGCGTTATTATCGTTTATACTGTCTAGATCGACCTCGAAAGCCATGCGGTTGAGGAAGTTGCAAACCTAGGTAGCCATGTATTAGTAAAAGAGACGAAATAAAAATAAAAAACGGAAGAGAGAATTAAGGAGCAGAGCATAGGTAAGTATAGAATAGGGTATCTTACAGGCTTGGCGTGCCACCGCCCTCCCCCCACCTCGAACCAGCCCAGGTGTCCGCCGAGCGAGGTGGTGCACAGCACGGTGTACGGGTTGACGGCGGCCTCGGCGTAGGGCAGGGCGAGGCGGGAGGCGATGGGGTCGTCCTCGGCGTTGATAGCGAGGAGGGGCACGCGGACGGCGAGCAGGGCGTCGGAACTCGAGGCGTCGCGGTAGTAGGCCTCCTCGGTCGGGTACCCCCACGTCGGGCACTGGTAGGCCCGGTCGAACTCGTACAGGTACGTGAGGCTGAGCAGGTGCGCCGTGTCGATGTTCGTGTACTTGTCCAGCTCGTCTTTGTGCCGCGACGAGAGGGCTTTCATGGAGTCTGAGAGAGGAGGAGGGGGGAGAGGTTAGGGTTTTTTTTTTCTGCTTTATGGGATAGAAGAGGGGGAATGGAGGGGAGGAAGGGGAAGGAAAAGGGAAAAGGGGGAGAGGAAAGTGCTTACTGCCGAGAGCACGCTGGTAGATGTTGTGTCCGATGAACGAGCTTTGTAGCATCTTGGACGATATGTGTAGCGCCCAGGGGTTGGCTACTACGACAGCGGCTTTGAGGGGGGTTGTGGTGCCTTCCTCGCCGAGATACTTGATTTGTTTGAATTAGTATGATTTTTCTTACTCCTATTCCTTGATAGAAAAAACTTACGTTGGTAAGGATGCAAGCTCCGAGCGAGAAGCCTAGGCCGAATAGGGGCCGGTTGGGATATGTTTTGGAGAGCCATTTGATAGTCTATGTATACGTTAATATGAGCAGATAGGTACCGATGATGGGGTGTTTATGTATAGGTATATAGTAAAGGGTAGGGGGGATATCGACTGCCTTACCTGTCTGACATCCCAGGTAGCACGGGCGTTATACAATAACCCCGTGGTAATCTTACTATTGGCGCAACCCCTCGAGTTAACGACGCAGGCCTCCCATTTCCCACTATCGATCAGCGGAGCGATAGCGTATCTGAGATACACCTCGTGAGAGCCCCCGGACAAGCCGTGAAGGATAACCAGCATAGGCCTATCGTCATCCGACCCGAGAGCCGACAGCTCGTCGTCGGTGAAGTAGGCGGTCCGCGGGGGCAGGGTGTCGTCGGCCTTGTCCCTCAGGGCGGGGTCGGTGACGGCGAAGTCGACGGCGAAGCTGCCGTTGAACTCGGCGTGGTCGGCCTCGAAGATCTTCCGGCGGTAGTGGAGCGGCGGGCCGTGGGACTTGGTGGCCGTCCACATGGTCTGCGCGTGCCCGTTGAAGAGCAGCGGGTTCAGCTGGCACGGCGGCACCGTCGCCCGGCATATCTCCAGCAGGTCCGTCTCCTTACCGTCCTTCCCCTTCAGACCCAGGGACTTGGGCGAGGTCGTGAAGTTGATATGGGCTCGGCCGAACCACTCCATTTTTGGACCGCTACCTACTGCTCTTCCGTCTTACTCCGAATAAGGACTGGCGATCTTCTTAAAAGCTATAATATCATACGTTATGATTTTATCATGTGAGTCAGAAATGATATATATATATAATTACCTAGTATAAAGATGAGGTAAGTTACAGCATATATATATTAAAGTGAAGACAACGGCAAAATGTCCGCCGTTCGGTGCTACTTGTCTTGTTTCGCCCTCCACTTACCTCGGTTCATACCCCGATTGGGTAACTGTGGTCCTACTCGAGGATGTCGTCGACCGAGACCCAAGCGTGCACGATGAAATGTAGGTGGGATATGCGAAAACTAAAACCATGCCGTATGCATTTTATAAGTTGGATTATGTTAAGAAAAGATTCTAATTACTTACACCACATTGGGTGGGTACATAGAGTACCTATAGCCTGTAGGTTAGGTAGGTATTTAGATAAGATGTAGCGTAGCGTCTCTTTTCTTTCCCCTTTGAATTGACTTGTTGAGCAGTGGGCGATGATACTTATTATGATACGTAGTAATGGCACACTAGTAAACTGGGTGAAACTGCAAAGCCCGAGAACCACTGATGTCATGCAGCGTTTAATGTTGTTGAAGAGAGATTATAGTAGGTAAGTCCCTTACTTCAATTCTAAAGAGTTTGCTCTTCTCTCTCATAACAGGTAGGTACCCAAGGTATAGCAACATTATCTTAAATTATGTATACATAAGGCTTAGTACACAGTATAACTTGATATTAATACTTACATAGACAAGCTGATAAGGTAAAAGATAAGATAATATGAAAGTAACCAAGTATTTACGTGAGCGAAAGGCCAAGTGGATTTACTTATCAATCACGTGAGGTTACTCCAAGCCTTACAACGTCGCGCCGCGCGCTTGTAACTGATCACCTACCATTAACCACTTCGAACAAAATATCTAAGATATCAACCGTACTGCCGTACAAATCAACCGATTACCCCGTTCGAACGTAAGATATAATTGCGTCCCTATATAGTATAGGGATGGGACTGTATAGCGCGTAGTGCAATGAAATTATGACATATCGCGGCTCGATGCCCCATGGCCAAGGCTCGGGGTTCAATGGCCAGCAAAATCAATATCCCCAAGTCGTGAGCAACGGCTATGATGCCTGGGGCAACCCACAGTTCCAGCATCAACAACCTTACCAGAACGCCGTTTTCACACCTACCACACCTTATCCGCCTCAGTCGCAATCTCAGCAACACCCTCACACGTATAATGCACATCCGCAACCGCAGCAGCAGCAGCAGCAGCAACCACAAAATGCGAACTACCTGTTTCATTCGTACGACCCCTCCCTCGATCAACGGCCGACAGGTATTCCACCTTCACCGCAGAACGGCGTAAACTTACATACCATGCCACACCCCGCCCAACATACTACTCCTCAACGCCAATATGTACAACAGCAACCAGAATGGCAGCACATGCCACCGCCGATGTCCATGCCGATGCCCTCCCCGTCCTATCAGACCCCCCAACCACAAATGACCCCGATGACACCGGTACAGCCCCAGAGTATACATCACCCTCAACATCAACATCAGCAACGGCAACAATTTCAGTATCAATTCCAACAGCCATTCTCCCCGCAGCAACGCCAACAGCAGCAGCAGCATCAACGACAATACCAAACCCCTGTACATCGACATGCCAGCTCTCCCGTCACTATCCAGTCCCCTCAATTGCCGCCACAGGTTGTACCGCACCCTGCTAATAGACATGTGAGTATGGCTGCACGGATTGACCAACGCGCCAGTCCTATCTCTGCAAGCCCTCGACTTGGTACTCGCGGCATTGCGAGGAGTCCTAGTGTTGGATCGCTAAGGTCGCCTGCTCCGACGCCGGGACTTCTACCACACCATGCCGATACCAATTCCCTCTTAATATGTATCGCAGAAGAATATTTCAGTAAAGCGCGGGAGTCCACTGTGTCTATGGTAGAGAATATCGAAGCCCAAAGTCTGAACGAATATCAGAAACTTGTCGCGACAGGGTTAGGCTGTCTCGAGGCTGTCTTGGAGAGCCCAAAACTGCAATCGCGGTTGGAGGCTAGGATACGGTTTCGATATGCCAGTATATTAATCGAGGAAACGGATAATGTGATGGAGGCTGAGACCGCTCTGACCAAGGGCATCACGCTTTGTGAAAGAGTAAACACGCACTCAGTAATCCCTGATAAAGCTCGGTCACCAGCTGACTATTTGTATAGAACCATCACAACGATCTCAAGTATGCCATGCACTTCCTTCAGATCAAACTGCTCTTTTCACAACAGAAAGTAAAGGCAGCTATGATTGCAGTAGATGGCCGAATAAGAGATACAGAGGTGTACGTGCTCTACTCTTCTTAAACGATATGGCAGACATGTCTCCTAACTTGCAGCAGGAAGAAGCATTACCATTGGATTTACGCATTTCGCTTTCTTAAGGCTTCCATGTATCTACAGTCTGCCAATCCCGCCGAGACGCATGCACTCGATAACCTAAAGGCCATTGCTAACCTAGCTAACCAGAGGAATGAACATGCTATCTCCGTGGCAGCCTCATTGCTTGAAGGCCTTAGTCTTCTCAGGACCATGAAGGAAGATGCTATAGTTCGTGTACAAGCCTGTATTGCCCAAGCTTTAAAATATCAGTTTGAGGATTCGGTTCGCATACCCCAGCTCGACGCTTTAGCTCTCATGCTAGATCTCGCCTGCAGCTTGCACCAAAAGTCGGTCCAAGGAATCATGCAGAAATTGAAGAATCTCCAGGACCACATGGATACTTACATGAGCGACAACTCTTGGTATTCCATAGACTCGCAACTCCTCCTACCTATTCGGAATAGCAATATACTAACAATCAGCCACGACACGGCGGCTATACTAAGGCCTGGACCCGAGGGTGATCGCTACGACTATCTAGTCATGTCGTTCTGGAGCAAGTTGGAAGCATACAATGTCACGTAAGAGAACTGCCTGCCTTTTCTCTTGCATTTCTATATTTCTATTGTGTTATTGTTATCTGCTAACAGCGGCACTAGGTACACTTATAGCGGCCTTGCGCTACTATACCAATCTCCTCGTAATGACAAGAGAATATTCAGGCTCTGGGAGGAAGCCGTGACCCAACTTCAAAAGAGTAAGATGTTCTGATGCGTTCTTCTCTACGATTTCTCACATTTAGAATAGGTGGTATTAGACTACGAGGCATACCAAATTCGTTAGCGGATGCCGTTACCAAAGCAGACTGGCATAGAGAATGGATGTGCTACCTGTACATTCTCCAGGGACTACACTTTGCAACTCACACCCGGTGGCCGGAAGTTAAGAAATGTGTGGCAAAACTGGAAAATATGGTCAAACCTCCGCTGGGGGCCATTGTCGTGCTGTACTCGACCTATCTTGCAGGTGTATACCATCAAGGGACCGGAGATTTAAAAACCGCCAATTCGATTTTCGGCAACCCAATCTTTAGCCTAGATAACGACAGCGGAAGAAGTGGGAATCGAAAAGCAGCCGAAGTCGACGTGTCGCTGCTAGCTACGTTCAACCGAATTTGGATCATGCAGCACCCGGATTACCGAAACGACCGATTGACGCTTGAGCTCCTGGAGCAACTCCGTCCGCTCTGCAGCGATCACCCCAACGTAGAGATCCGCACGTCGTACAACCTGGTGCTAGCGGCGGTGCAGACGAACCCGCCGATCCCGATGACAGCGGTCAAGATGCACATATCGACGGCACTGAATAGCGCGCAGTCGCTGGGCAACGTGCACACGCTGTCGATCGCGCTCAACGTGATGCGGGCCAAGCTCTTCCAGAACATCGTGGGGGACCAGGCGCTCAAGAGCGCCAAGGCGGCCTCGAACCAGGCGAAGCGGAGCGGCAACACGCTGTGGATGAGCGTGGCCGACGGGATGCTCGCACAGAGTTTTGACGTCCAGGGGCAGGCTCAAGAAGCCCAGAAGGCGTGGGGCGATGCGACGCAGTACGCGCAGCAGACTTTTAACATGATGGGGCAGCAGGAGGGTTCGGCGTCTTGAAGAAGTAGAAGGAGATGATGATGATGACAACGAAGAAGTTGTGGGGTTAGTTTGCGGGTTGCCGGTACAGCAGATCCGGATGATGGATGGATGGGTAGGGCAAAAAGCAAAAAAAGGGGGCGTTTTATTTATGCATTATGTATAATACTATAGCACTGCATCTCGGGGATCGTACACGGGTAGGCGGGCGATATGATACTACTGCTAGGTATTGCCCGTGCGTGTGTGTATGCACCTCTAATGTATGTTGTCTATATGTATGTGCAAGTTTAGGGCGTTTGGCAGGTTAGACCAGGTCAGGACAGGTCATCACAAGGAAAGGGGGGGGAATGGGGCGGAAGGGAAAGCGAATTGTCACGTTTCTTGGTTGGGTTGGTTTGGTTTGGCCATGTCAGACGGCTTGATAACATAACAACAATATACCCTCTCGTCTTTTGATTTACTTTTACGTTTTTCTTTGTTTTCTGGTGAGAATATAGATGCTAGGTACAGTACACGACATTGTTGTGGGGGGAGGGGGGGAACTTTGGTATTTCTCCAGGAGTATAGGACCGTGTTAGACTTGATTATGTCGTGTGGTGTGGTATTAGAAGGGGAGAAAGGCACCGGGGAGTTGTACAATACTATTATTATAGGGGGATATGTAAACGGGTGTGTATGACGAGACTCAACGTTGCTCTGCATACAAGAGCCGCTCCAATTTTTTTGTTCATTTTTTTTTTCTCTCTTCGAGCCTTGTTCTGACGGATCGAAGCATCGAGGGCTCCGGGCGCGGGAAGAAGAAAAGAAAAGAAACGGAGTATGGACAGGATATGTCGCTCACCTCTGGGCTCACCGGTGGTGGCGGTATACAGTACATAGGACTGGGGTCCTCGCATTGCTGCTACCTTACCTAACCTGGGTACATGCCTAGATAGATCTGCGTCTGGCATACGAAGACGAAGAGGTATGTAGGATGACTCCGACTGTCCCGCCTTTTTGGGTTTATGGTTGATTTTAATAATGATGCACCTAAGTTCTACATACATATACATACCTAGGTACCTAAGCTATTGTGCTATGCTACCTATATGTATGAATATAGATGCGGATGCGGATGCGGATGCGGATGTGGATGTGGATGAAAATGGAGACGGAGATGGAGATGGAGATGTGGATATACATGCTGCCACTGCCGTCTGCGAGGTAAGAAAGAAACTGGGCTTTGGGCAAATATTGACAGAGCAGAGAGAAGAAGAGGAAACCTTTCCGATCCGGCACACTTGCTAGTTGGTTGGTCGGTTGGCTGGTCGGGTTGGCCGGCCGGAGTGACTGACTGACTTCACCTGACTTGCTGCGTGGAGTATAGAAATAGGATAGGTAGGCGAAGAGAAGAAGAAGGTCTAGATGGTCTTTTGCCTGCCAAGGGTTGATTATATGCCGTATGTATAAGAGATGCAATGCAATGCACGCACGCACGTAGTAGTATGTACGGCCGGCTTTATCTATAATATCTACGGAGTATATAATTACGTTAGGTACGTATGGTACGTGGGAAGCTCTTGGCCAGCCGGCCAGCTAATCAGGAGGTTCGTTACACGGATGGGAAAGAGGTTGTGAAGTTTTTTGGTAATTGTAAATCACGGGCGATGGGGAGGGGGGAGAATTGGGGAACGGGTTTCGGAACGTCGGCCGAAAAGCAACAAGAGATACTACATAGTAGAGAGAATAGAAGAGTTAACTACCTCCTATGGAATAAAAAGGGGGGGAATAACTTGAGCGGTACAGTACTTTTGAGTTGTTGTTTCCGGGCGGTCCCGGCCCACGTGGTGAATTACCGTTTTGCAATCATTACTTGTTGGTTAGTTTAAATGTGTGTTTTCTTTTTTTGTCGTGTTGCGTTAGAGGCTATTCCCAGTCGGGAGCTGGTAAGAGTTTAGCTAGAGTTATTTATCTGTTAAGCCGAGGTGCAAGACGGACGAGATGAAAAAAAAAAAAAAAAAAAAAAAAAAAAAAAAAAAAAAAAGAGAGAGAACAGGATAAGCGAGTTAGTAACTATGAAAGGTAATTAATAACCGAGCCAGCAAGCAAGCAAAGGAAAGGAAAGCAAAGCAAACAAGTAAATGAAGCAAATAGCGTATAATCGTATGTAACAATAAATAGGTTATAAGATAGGAAGATAACATGATTAATAAGGATAATAATGATGACGACGATAGTAACGACGACGAACGCGGAGTATTCCGTATATTAGGTACTTATACTATCATTACATGGAGATAAAACGAGGTGGACCCTTTTTTGGTTTAAGCCGTGGTCTAACTACTGTATTAGGTACATAATAGTTGATTTGATAAGGGTATGTCATTTACTTCATTTGTCAATACTTACAAAGCTGCTTTGCTAAATACGGGTTTTGCGACTGACATGCGATTGTCTGCCGCATTACCTGTAGTACCTAAGGGAGGTAGTGTGCAATACATTACTAGCAGTTATGGGGGACCCTATGTGCTTTTGCCCCTAAAAGTTCCCTACATCGGTAGTAGACAATACATTAGAGGTAGGACCCTTCCCTTCGTCTCGCGCGCGTACTAGGTTAGGTACCTTAGATAGGTACCTGTACTATATAAAGTACATGGCATATACTTACCAGGTAGGTAAGTACCTAATAGCTTAACCCGGCCCACATCCCAAAGACCATTCCACGCCCGCTCCGCCGGCTCGAAGTGCCTATATACGATAACGCAACGGCATACCTAGTACTACGTACTACCTTAGGTTAGGTTAGGTATGTACCTAATATACTACACTACCTAATTATATGCAAGCCGGGTTAGATCACCGCGGCCGACCAGTCCCCTGGGTCCCCACGGTGCAACCCTACGCCGGCTAAGCGGTGCCCTTGTGTATTTTCAATACCTACCTAGGTACCTAATATATCTGCTCGGTTGGGCTTATACCTGAGGTAGGTAGGTATATTATATGCCGTGCACTATATATTAGGTATTGTAAGCGGTACTTACTTACTACGCACCGAGTGTCTTTTTGATTAACTTTGGGGCGGGGGGGCGCGGTAGTAGGTTTATTTATATATTATTAGTATCGATTATCATTATGTAGTATAAACCGTAGTGTGGTGTAGTTTAACTATACGAAGTAAATATATACATACATAGGAGGTAGTTATTTGATACATAGAGAACATACTATGTACCTATATAGGAGAAAGAGGGGGTGAGGTAAGCGTGGGATATCTGTATCTAACAGGAATTACATTAATAGTTTACATTTTCGTCATACATTCTCTCCTTCTATTCATCTTCATCTTTTTTACCCCCGGTCCAAAATACGACGTTGGCAGCAGCATCAATATACCCTGCTTTTTTTTTCTTGTATATTATTTTCCCACGAGCTAAATATAATACCTTAGGTACCTAGGTACCTAACATAGTGGAAAGAAATAAAAAGCTATTATCGTTACCAAGTCTCTCTGTGCGGTGGCATTATAAGGTAGGTATCATAGTCGTATCGAAAAGATGTGTTGTCATGTCGGGCCATGACGCCCACCAACTTGGGATGGGTATCATCCAAACCCACCCACACATACGCTATATACACGCGCGCGGGTGCGAGCAATCTGAACCCCTGCGATTGGGAAAGGGTTTAGAAACCAAGATCCAGCAGGGAGCGGAGTTAAGGCGATCTTCCCTTTATGTGCGTATGTGTGTGTGTGTGTGTGTGTACATAGTAGGGGGGGAAGGTGGTTTTTCTCTTCCGCGTAAGGTATTTATTGTACGCTACAATAGTTACCTCCCTGCCTTGCAGCTTTTGGCTTGTTTGTCGTCATCCGTAGCCCGGGAGTTCTTCGGCGCATCCCACCTATCTACTAGGTACCTAATCTAGCTGTCTAGTAAGTCAGTCGTCTAGGACTTTATGCTGTGTGTCCCGTCTTCACATAATATTAACGGCAATGTCGGTCGAGAATTCTACGCCGCTCAATGGGAAAGGGGGAGCGGGGGGGATGAAAGCAGGTGAGGCGGCATATATAAACTTCCAACGGCGAATAACAAGACAGGAGAAGGAGACGGCGGTATGTATGGCGGGGACGGTGTGGTTACCCAACCGGACGCCTTCGCTTCTTTTCCTTCCTCATCTACCGTCAATGGATGGATGTGTCGTGTGGCGCACGCCGTATAAGGTACATATCTACCTCCTAAGGAGGTAGGTATCATATAATATTAGACACCGCACCTGGGTCCGTAATACAGCTAGTTAGCTGACAGCACCGTGCAACGTGGTTTTGAACCTCGCTGCAGTCAGCCTACATATATCTTATAGCCTTTAAACTTAGCCTTAGCTACCTACCTAGACCTGATAATGCACCTCCCTACATGAGAGTGTGTATACCTAACGTATACGGATACGTACACGGATACGTATATGGTATTGTATATCTGTTCCTACCTACCTACCTACATAAGTATATCCTAAGCCGACGTTGGGAGTAGCCCAGACCCAGACCCAGCCCTAGTCGGTTAAGCTGCTCTACTACTTTTATTTTCCTGATTTCCTTGATTTTTTCCCAACCCCACGCTAACGGCCGTAACGACTTCTAGCAACCCGGTTTCGTATCTCCGAGTGGGGGGTATCGATTTCCTTTTCCGTATGGCTGCCATGCCAATGCCACGCCATGCCATGCCGTGACATGGGAAGGGGATAGAGAGGGAGGGGGGGGGTTAGGTAGGCCCTCGTACGGGCTTACTTTGCAGCAACGGGCTAGACCTCCGTTTTGGGAACTCTTCCCCGGCCGAGAATTCAATATAACCACGGAGGAGCGAAACACGGAGATCAAATTTGGGTGGTGTGTTTCCCTGCAGGAAAACGTGACCAGCCCTTTCTTCGAGAAGGAGGGTTGAAAGGGGGGAGGTGGAGGGGAGGGGAGAAATTAAAAGAACCGCTGTGGCGTTGGCTTCTCGCGTGGCAGCAAAAATTGAATTATGATCTGATGCCTATCTAACCGCCGCTCTAAGGACGACATACCTTGACTTCGCCGCACCATTGGATCACGCGCCCATGACAAGATTCCTAGCCTCGGCCAACGCTCTCTTGTCGTCGCTGCCTACCTCAGAGTGACACAATCCACCCTCAATTAGGCTTAATTATACTCGAACGATCCTTCAAATTTGGCCATGGCGCGTATACGCACGTTGCACAATTAGCTTCTTGGGTATTACTTTGTTGGCTTCAGTGTCACAAGTGGAAGTGTTGGGTCAAGGATAACACACGACTGTTATATCAAAATGAACTTTTATTCTTTCCCCCTTTATCGACTGACTCTTCCACCTTCAGCCTCCTCGCTTTATTCCATCTTTCGTATGTAGTCATACGACGTATGCGTGCTTTCAAATACGATAAATAGGGGTATAGTACAGGGTATAACTACTTATAAACAATAGACATGAAACTGAGACTTGGTAACCAACTTTAAGTCCTGAACAAGTGAAAAGGATACTCGATATGTAGTTGATCCAAACAGGCAGATAAATCATTCAATGCAAAAACCAGGATATCCAAATCTCATCACCATGCCCGCCTTCCAAATGCTTTGCGGCCGTTCAAGACATGCATATAAAAATCAAAACGCCCGCCAGGATGCTACCCAATCCCAACCAATATTGGGCTATATAGTAAACTGGATGTAGATCTTTAGTCGAAGGTCGGAAATGTTATAAAAGTCGCTATTGTAAATGAACTCGGCCATTGCCGAACTAGGCGTGATGCAGAAGAGGGTTGACCTAAGAGCATATAATTGAAGCGTTGGTGGTCGTCGCTCCAGGTGAGCCAATAAGGGGCTCTCCGACTAAGAGAGTTCGCCGTCATGAGATCGGAAGAGTTTGAAAGCGATATCTCCGCCTTTTCCACGCCATTCGCGCCGTAAGGATGTCTCGCAATGAAACCGAAAAAAATAATGCAAACCGACCGAAAATGGACCATAACGGTCTCGATGCTAAGTTCGAATAAGGGGTATGGCGCAAATCGTATCGTACAAGTATCGCAAGCCGACACTTCCAACTCTCCAAATCAGCACCCAAACCAGACTCGTCGCTCCTCGTTATTTCTTTTTAAAGCCGACGACCCTAGTGCTAGCGCGAGCGCCACCAGGATATTGATATCCCCGCTTGTGACGTATCCATTAATATTAGGCACTACTTTTCATATTTGCCAAACATGGTGGCCGTATCTTCAAGTTAGCCCGAACGGGCTCTTAACTGTATAGATATTCTGTCGGTGAAGCTATTCGGCTCGAATGAGTTTAATTTTTTTTTATACACGCGTATGAGGTCTCCTATGCATTAAATATGAGCATCGCGGTCATTATTTCTCTTTGGGTGCAGTAATAGAGCAATACCACCTGAATAGGTAGCACGGTGCTTATTACATCCATGTGCATGGTAAAAAGCAATGACAAATGGTAGTAGAGGTGATTGGTTAGAGGGCGTATACATACGAGTCTGTTTGCCATGGTCGACAAAGAATATCGCGAGGTAAATCATGATGTTGCCAGGTCGGCATACTACCATTAGGTGCCCGTTTAATATCGGACATGGGCATCATTGGGGGAGGACGGCTCGTTGGGGGCGGTGGTTGTCGCGGATAATCATCATGCGAAAACCTCATCCTCTTAGAGGAAAAGCCATTGAGCAGTTCGGGAGATGGATGGCTGAGCTTCGTGGTACGCGGTGAGACCGACGTACTTGAGGCGCTCCTAGGTCTTCCGAAGTCCATTGCACCTGGGTGTGACCCAAGTGACCTAGATAATTCGTGCTCAGCCGACGAAGCCACCGGGGATGTATTATGACCACCACGAGGGCTATATTCGGAGTTAGTACATGGGAACGCAACATCTCCTCAACAGGACCAATTTCCTAGACTTACGCATTCTTGAACTTGCAGACCCTGCCGAATTTCTCACATTGAACACATCGAGGATAATCGGGATCGCACTTTATCTTCTTTTCCCGGCACGTGAGGCAAGCTATAGCAAGTCGCTTTCTTGGCTTCCCAGCCTTCGTGACTCCCCAGTGGGCATTAACCGGCTCTCCATCGATAACCGTCTTGCAGTGAGTTCCATCATCGTAGAAATAACACAACCCTTCACCAGGGACCTCGGCCTGCTTCACAAACCGCGGTAAAAAGTGCGTTCCCGTCCAGATCTTGGGGCCTAATCCGTCTTTTACCGGCGCACCTTCAGGGGCAACTGCGCTGGCCAGAGTCGGTGAGTGACCTGAAGGATCCAGACGCATTTGACTTTCCCTCTTGAATACTGGGCTTGATTCATAGCCATATCGCTGGCCCAAGGGAGGGAGTGGCACACGCTCGCTAACCGGTCTGAAAGGAGGACTTGGCGGCCGGGAATCGAACACGTACTCCCGTCTTGAATCGCCCCACCTTCCAGACGAAACAGGCTCGGCTTGCGGTGCGCGATGCAAGTGATCATACTCGCGAGTAGGAGACCTCAGCGGACCGGGAAACTGAGAAGCAACCGAGGGAAGCGTTGGCCGCTCCACTTCCGGCCTCGGCTCATAGACGCTGCGAGGCTGGCTCAAGGAAGGGGATCGGTTTGGAAAATAAGACGAACTTCTCGAGTGCGGCCTATCTAACGGAGAGTGCGCACTGTGAAGCGGGCTTGGTCGATCCGGGAGAGGAGAAAGTGTCGAGCGGACATGGTGAGGACCGAATAAACTACTTAAAGACGGGAGTTGCTGTCGAGGTGCACTGTTGATATCTCTTCGCGTTTGACTATCCTCTATATCTCTGGTAGCCATATCTGATCGGGTGCTTGGATCATAGTTAGACATGGGAGGAGAAATAGGTGCAGGAGGATTCCAAGCTGGTTCCCCGAAAATCCTAGGAGTGGGAGTTGATGAGCTCGGGCTGACCAGGCCAGGAGGTGTATTAGGAATGGCGGATGGGCGATGAAGTTCTAATCTGGTTTGTATCCCCATTGAGATCGAAGGCGAGTTTAGATAATTCCTTACAGCATATCAAGCTCAAATTTAGCAGCTGTTTGTATGTTCGTAGGTAAAACTATGAAACCTAAGAAAAGAACGGCGTAGATGGAGATAGACGCCGAGTTAGTCGAGAGGGTTTGGGTATCTGCCGGGTAAAGGTCGTCCAGCGGCGCAGTTGGCAAGTACACACGCGCCCACCCTCTGAGCTGTAAGTCGTCGAGCCGAGTTGCTGAGAGTGGCCAGAATTTCCGGATAATTGATCGTTCAGATTCAGCGTGCTGCTGCTGCTGCTGTCCAACTGTCCAATCCCAAGCGTTTTCTAATCGTCTATTAGGCCTGTGAGAAATGCTGAAAGTGGTCTACGTGGTTGACGCCTAGATCAGATGGCGAACAGTGTCAGATTCTATAAGCTGACAGAGGCGAAGGGATAATAGAGCGCCGACTCGCGTGATAGTCAAATTTAGCCAAGGTACGATATGTATGTAAGTGAGCCTGTAAGTGAGCGTTGGTATGTTGAGGAAGTATTATCAAAAACACATGTGCCCAGCGTCGGTGAGGTTTGGATGTATAGATACAGTAAGTTAATACAGGATGTGTCGATGAGGAGATATGATTCGAGAGGGCAAGACGACCAAGTATAGGTCTTGGAAGAGAGAGGATGGATTTGGGAGGATGAGGTATTGTATGTATGTATCTCGTAACAGGTAGACTTGTAGACTTGTCACACAGACCGGGCTTTCAATGTCGTTACTGAAGTCTGGGGGTCACTTTACTGAAAAAAGAGAATACATCAGAGATGTAGGAATAACAATGTAAATAATAATATGCACGTCCCAACTCAGATCCTAAACGATTACCAAGAAACTACTTACATACTACCTCAAAGCGACTGCCTCCATACCTACTCCATGTAGTAGTATGTGTGTACTATGTAGTTATGTATCGTACTAAACCTAGACCTCCATGGCTACTGCCCCATGGCCCATAACCCATGGCAAGTACACCGGGCGACTTGGTAACGGCTAGCCCCCCTTCCCCCGGTCACAAATTCCGCGAGCTGCTCTTTCCAATTACGATCTTGCGACATCTACTACTACTTACTAGTCTACTACTACTACTACCTAGGTAGTATGTAAAGAAATACGTACAGGTATGGAAATTAGGTACCTAGATACCGGCTCCGACGGCATGGTGTTGGTTCTCGTCCGCGGAAAGTACGAAAGCACGTACCTACCTAGTCACTTACTTACATTAGATGTAGGTATGTAATTGTAATTAATGAGCGAATTGGCCCGAGTATGGCTATCGTATAGACAGGAAAGCACATGTATGGGTAACAGGTATGGGTATGAGATATGGGTATGAGATATGGGTATGGGTATGGGGCAGCGGCTCGGGTAGAGTATGTATAATACGTACATACGGTACCACTAATGACTACCGCGTAGTATGTAATGTACTCGGTAAAGGGAATAAGTGATATCAGGGTCAGGGCTAAGGTCAAGGCTAAGAAGAGGCTAGTCATTACGGGGTTACGCCGATATAGAGCTACAGGTATGTAGGTATAAAGGATGCCTGGAAATCATAGATTATAAGGTGAGAGTTACCCCCGTATTGTACATTACCGTAAATATTGGAAATTAACGATAGTAGCGTATATAAAAGTACATAAGTACCTAATATAATGAGTCTAGGGGTTTTTAAGGGTTAAGGGTTGCTATTAGTTACGGGTTGTGTTGCGAATTGTAGAAGAGACATCCATGATGTTGACTTCGATGTGGGTCGGTACCTTCTCAGTCTAACGGAGCTGATCGACAAATACAGCCAAGGTACCTCTTATGTACCTATTCCCATCATCTTGCTCCCATCGTTAGGTACTTGCCTGTGCTAGGCGGCCTGGGCCCCGTGTACCTAGTGTAAGCAAAATACATTAGCAAAGTACGGTCGAGGTACGTACCTACTCTTTTCTCACTTGCTCTTTTCCCCCGGGTACCGTAGGTACAATATAATAGGTACCTAATTAGACCTACCTAAACTCCTGGGGCAGTCGCTATGTCGCTCGATTTACCGAAGTGCGCGTTTGTCAACCTATCATCAAATGATGTATGCTTGTGAAACGTGCTATATGTACCTACCTATGGTGTAATTAGGAAGCGTAAGCGAGGGAGTACCGTCGTAATTAATAGGAATCCCAAGAGAACCGTCATTCATATACCTGCGGTTCACTTTGCTAAGCTTCCCTACCTACCTAGGTACCTAACCTATTTACCTAGGTACGCATTCTAGAAATAAATTCAGGGAAAAATAGAGGTCACCGATATGTTACCCCGTTACCCACTAACTTACACAATTAATACCTACTTTACCTACTTTACCTACCTACCTACCTACCTACCTACCTACCTACCTAAACAAATTTAAGCGCTTAGTCGGTTCTTAGCGAGCGAGGGCGCCGTACTCTTTCCGGGCTGTCTAATTCAAAGAAGAAGGGGGGAGGGAAAGCCAAGGTCTTGTATAGTAAGTCCCGTGTTCCAGACCGCGTATATGCACATACGGCTGATACATAATCTACATAAAGTAGGCGGTAGGTAATTTGGAGAGTTATCCAACTTCTTAAGATAGTATACTCCTAATACTTCCATGACGGCTAATTGGTAACGAAAGGAGCTCGTGCGCCGGCACGTAGCACTCTAGTGTGATTCCAACGGTCTGGGTGCACTAGTTGAGATAGTATCTTTTTTTTTTTTTTTTTTTTTTTCTTTGCTTTCCCATTCCCTTGATTTTTAGTCTCATATTAGTCTCTCCCCGTACTGCCTTTCTTGGTACCGGCCTCAACTACCGCGTAGGGAATAAGCTATCCTCGCTAGCACAGATCTAGCATACTGATAGCCACGAGCTACTATGTCACAGCCATCTAACTAATGCCTACCAAGGCCTACCAAGGCTTGACCATAGCCAACCGTATCAGCAAATCTACTACGGAAAAGGGTTAGTCGAGATTTCGCGACTGCATGGTCCTTTTGCAGCCGGGACGCTTGTAGCCGCGCACCAAACACTCTAAGAAGAGCCTAATATCGTAGGTTATTAATGACTGGAGTCCAGAATCCCCCTTATTAACGCTAAACCGCCCTGGCTCTCCCAAGAATCCTGTCTTCCGGAGACTAAATGCTAGCTTGATGAATCTATCAAGTTTGCAAGCCTCCTGGGCTCCTGGGCGGCTCCTGGGCTCATACGATCAGCACCCGAGGAAAAAAAAACTTGGATGGCTTGGAAGTGCTAGGCCGTCTTGGGAAACTCGTTGGCGATATACAATGCAACGCTTCCCCACCAGTTTCCACATAATCGACCCTCCTCCGGTCCTTTCGTTGTCGGCCGAGTGGGAGGAGCCGCTCAATGTACTGCGGTATAATACACAGTAGTATGCGTGCATGGAAGTAGGTAAATTCATCATCACTCGAGCTACGTAGTCGGGACGGCACCTGGGTCTTAGTCAACTCAATGGGATCAGACCTCTGGGCAAAATACCTTGTAATCCATACCACTTCATCTCCTTTCGAGCCCCCCGAAACCTGCATTCGCTAATATTCTCCTTCTAGGGAATGGGCTGATGGGGCTACGTAGGGAAAGGGATGCCGGCCTTCTGCTCCATGCCCCCGCCACACATGTAATGATCGCTGCAGAAGGGCAGAAGGCTTTTTATTTTTATAAGCCTCACTGCTGAACTGTCGCGCGTCATCTCGTACTACCGTTCATATTCGCTCATATTTTAAATATTTTAAAACAGATGTCGCAGACGTGCCGAACCCCGCCGATGCGGTAAGAAAAATGTTTGGCATTTGACAGTTACAGTGTCAGTTCGGCGGTATTCGTAGATCGTTGGACATGCCGGCATCGAGTCCGGCCGAAAAGTCCGGAGAACCAGCAGCCAGGGAAGAAAACAAAAGCCGATGACATGTGGAGAGACAATACCCCTCCAATAATAAGACGATGGTACGGGCTTGGCTACGTATCTTAGAACTAGAGGCTGCCCAACTGCGACCGGCAATTGTTTTCTATCACCGGCAGCTAAGTCGCAAACTAAAATTATCATGCAAGGGTATCTATCCATCGACTTATCAATGCTCGAATTTTATGGCAATTGAGCATGTATTGTGTCGCCTCTCGTACGGCACATTTTGCTTGTGCTACTTGGTAGGACGAGTTGGGAGCCTCACAAATCAGCTCTGTTGACAGCTCAGGGCCCCTTTTATTGGCCTATACGCGGGTCTACGATGGGGCTTAAGTGGGAAACCTAGCGATGGAGACAACCGAACATGTTCGCCACCAATTCCCTCGGCAGAAGCACGGATGGGGCACAAGCTGAATTAGTTTACCCCAGCTCGCCACGATATTTCGAGTCTGAAAGGGTTTTCCTGCTCCCTACTCCACCGCATACATACATTGATATTCTTCTCGTATGTAATATACGCATGTATGTACGGAATAGTTTATTCCATGCTCCCTAGATATCAACCAGACCATAGACTGGCGATTCTATTGACTTGATCCAGCTGATTGGGTTGAAGCAATCAACATTTCGGCGTTTCTTCTAGTGGCCACAATATCCATGTGACCGCCGGAGGGATTTTTTTTTTCTCTTTATGACCTATCGCAATGCCAGCAAACCTGGTGGCACTCGGTCAGACTAGGGGATGCAACGCGAGAGGCTCAGAAGGGTTTCCTCATACGATAACCCAAGAATGGACGCTTGCAGCTTGTCATCTCCTCAGCGCGCAGTCAAATCAAAGTTAGCGTGGTGGCAGTCCAGAAACCGGGCAAGCCACGAGCCTACTACATATGTATCTGGCGTTGATTTCAAACCGTCAGATTTAATGGATGGTGGGCCTACCTACCTCCTTTGCAAAGAGTTAGGGAGGTTCATCTTAGTGATCTATCTAGTCTCGAAGATCAAGCCACGTCTCATCATCCCGCCCAACCCATGCAGCTCCTCCGCTGCGTCATGCCCATGCCGAACAGGACACGTACAGATTAGCGAAATGACCCTCGTGGCTCAGTAATCCTCAGTGCCGAATTTTTACTAGGCTTAGCTGGTCTGATGCATACGGTATACTATGATCGACGCCCCCCGGACGTAAGGGCCATCGCTTCCTGCCCGCAAGAGCAAGGTTCTGTCACGGAATTATCAAGGATGATTGCCCCCCTGAGCAGGTCGAACGCTAGTACCCCTTGACCTGACATTGTATACTGAAGTACTTTTTCAGTTGGAAGAAGCTGAGGTCGGGGTTGTGTCACGAGTGACACATGGAATCAGAATAATTGCGGCTCAAGTCTTTTTTGACCCATTTTAGACAGCAAACATGGATCTTGGCCATCCTCCATTCATCACGATCCCATGCCAGACACGAATCGAATATCTACTAGGCACCGAATAGAAAACTAACTTCTTACTCATCTCCTAATAGATCCTATCGCCATCTAGGGAGAGGTTCAAGGGTCAATAAGCAGCAACTGTCCCGGTGGACAGTGGTAGTAGGGCGTATGGAATAATCCTTCGGCAAGGTCTCACAGAAAGTTGCAGGTAGTGTTGTAAGCGTTGTAAGCGAGAGGCGATACAGCTGGGCTGAAGATGGCGTGTTTGTTGGCGTGTTGGCGTTTTGGCTATAAAAATTGAAGGAGACAGCGAACCTAGCGGATTGGACTAGACTACCTAGGCTTCCAGACTAGTACGAAAATGAGGGAAATGGTCTATGTGAAATTCGTCCGAACTGAAGAAGGGTTAAGGGTTCCGTCGGCATTTGATCAATTGTTCCCCCTATGATCCGTGCCCCGTGTGCCGTGTTGCTCTAGGATCTTAGACGGACGCTAGTTTCAACGATGAAGGTTTTTAGTGTAGCGTAACGTATTATACAATACCTACTTAGGAGATTAGTGTGCTATATCATGGTACTAGGTATGCATGTAGCGTATATGTTGGTACGTGGTGTACTACCCTTAGGAGTAGGTAGTGTAGTGTAGTGGAAAGAAGGAAATGCCCGGGTCCGGACTTATCTTCCCTTTGACGTTCGTAATAAAACCCCACCTGTTAAGAACTAAGGATCGGCTGTTAGACAGGGCCATGTGGCTGGGTCGCACTCAGCTCCAGCTTCCTTCGCGGCTGCAGATGCTTGCCGGGCGGCGCCATGTGCCTCGTGGTCGAAGTTAGGTACCTGCTAGGGGAAGTATACATGTAGTTGTATTGTACTTGGGATGTAATTTACTTACGCAGAGGTAACTAAATCGGATGTACTGGCGAGGTACTTGATAGCTTAAATTAGGTACGTACATAGCATCATGCTAAAAACTGCTAATACCGTAGGTACCTACGTAATCTAGGTACCTATGTACCTAACCTTCGCTACCTATTCCTTGTCCCATGTGCTGAGCTACCTCTTCGAGGTCCACTGTGGGATTCCGATTCCGATTCCAATGTACTTTTGTTGATGCCGGGGAATGACATGATTTTCGCATCCAAATTGGATCCTTTGTTCGGTAGTCGCCAGTGCTACTACTAATTGCAATTGCTAATGGGTGACTATTGAGTAAGGGATTACTTACGATGGAGCTCGAAATTATTATTATTTTATTTGT